AATTACTTCAAAATAGAAAGATTTTTTTTTAAAGAAGTACTTTGTCATGGGCAAAATCAAATTCCAAAATAAAGAGCAGAACTGCAAATAGCTTTTGCTGCATTGTGCTTAATGGTGGCAACACATTAGAGGTTAGTGGTTAAGATCTCTAGCTTTGCATGTAGACTGATGCCATGTCACTGTTGTGTGTCCCTGGGCAAGTTACTCTTATTTATATAAAATAGGGATAACAACAGTGTCTGCTTCAGAAAACATTTGTGAGGATTCAGTGAAACAGTGCCTGTAAAGCCCTTGATATAGGAATAGCCTATAGGAATGATTACAATGCTACCTGTTATAAATTTTTTGCATTGTTATTTTTATATGCAATAGTTATTAACTCGCTGTCAATTTTGAGCTGCCTTTCTGTTAACAACTGTGGATTTGTGTTCATCTTCCTGGTTTTTATTTTTAATACTCAGTTTACATTTAAATCCACATCTAGAAAACAGCTAAGCTATCTTTTTAGTTGGATATATTAATAGTAATTAATATTCTTGTAATTATAGTAACAATAACTAGAATGTATATAAATCAGTTCATAATGCTCATCATGTATTCTATAAACATTTACTTTGACTCTCATAGCAAGCTGTGATAGGCATTTTTTAATATCTATTTTATACATTAGTAAGAAATCTGGAGCTATTGAATATTAAAAGACCTGCTTTCTTAAGGTCTACTCTCTGCATGGAAGCTAGAGCTATCGTGATAAAACACAGTTCGGACCATGTCAGTCCTCTGTGCAAAGCTCCAGGTCTCCCACACCACTCAGAGGAAAAGGCAAAGGCCTCTCCCACCTGTTCACCCTGCCTGGAACTTCCCTATACCCCCTAGAATCAATTTGGCCCATTCTGTCACCCTAAGTCTTTCGTCACAGGCCATTTCTCAAGGAGCTACCTCTGACCTCTCCCCCCATTTAAAATTACAGCCTGAGTCCCTGCCCAACCCTGACCTTCTGATCCTCTTCTGTTTTACTATTGTACTTATTACCTTCTACTACTGCATTCAGCTGACTTATTTATCAAGGTTATCATTTGTTGCTCATTTCCTTCCATGAAAATGTGAGCTCTGTACGGGCAGGGATCTTTGTTTTATTCATGGATATATCCTGGGAAAATGTCTGGCACATAGTAAGAACTCAGTAAATATTTGTGGAGTGAATGAATGCAGGACAGATAAGGAGTTCCGAGGTAATATGCTACTTCCTTTAAGCAGCGGGTTCTTTATTTGTTGCCTCCTTTGGTAGAAAGATGCATGGTAGGAAAAAATAAAAGAAGGGACAGGATTGTTTATTTGGTTAATTGACAGGATTGCTTAATCCAGAGCTCAAAGAATTAGCCTAACTGTGCTCTTAGAAGTTGCTTCCTCAGTGTTTCCGATTGTCCTTCCCTCTAGGGAAACATCCTGTTACTGAATGTTGCTTAAAAATATCTTTTAGTGTGATAGGCAATCTTTTTTCCAACCAGCAGAGGACCAAGCAAGAGGGGCACGAACCATCTTAATAGAGTTAGATGAAAAGGAGAACTCACTGTAGAGAGAACGGCCACTAGGAGAGAGAGTGGACTAGGAGCAGGAGTCTGTCGGGTTAGAGTGGGTGGGAGGGTGGAGACTTATGGGGGCGGATGATTTTTCTCCCTGGAAAGCCACAAGGGCTTGGGCTATATAACATCAAGGGCTATTCCAGTCTGGTGGTTCCTGTTCATCTACAGAAGGAGAATAGGTGAGTGAGAGGGAGCTGTTTTTCCCTAGTGCACACTCGTTGCTGTAGTCAGTCCAGGCTTCTAAATGAGTCTCTACTTGGGAAACTACTACCATTAAACAAAAAAAGTTTAACTGAACAAATTAATTAAAGAAGACTATATTTAGGCTTAAGTGCCATCTGGTTTCGGAGGATGTTAACGCTGGTTTGAACCAGTTTCCACTTCTCTCTGTGCTGGCATCTGTCTGGCCTGTGGGTGCTGGCCCGCTGACCGCCTGGAGTACTGCTGTAGTGGGTCGCTCGGCCGCTGCAAGGCAATTCTGACTTGGCGTGAATGCCTCATGCGAGGACATTTGCTATAGATTGTTTTCCTGGCCCTCTGTACGCTTTGAAAAGAAACACACACAGAGGAAAAATGACTTCCTGCTTGACCTGCAGTCATGTCCCATGATGTCCAGTTTCACTTTTGGCACTGATAACACAGGACTCAAGACCAGGGTCCCCCACGGTCCTACTGGAGGACCTGTAACTGGATGATGGATCTCAATGACATAAACCTCCCGTTTTTACCATAGAGCTGGCTCTTCCCCCATGACCAGTTTGGAATGTGATTTTGTAGTTTGTAGTTAGAAGAAAATTCCCAGGGGAAGCAGAAAAGTCATGATGGAAAACTCCTTGCTGTGGGGGAAGAATTGTTTCAATGAGTGATGTGGGTGCCAAGATATTCAGGGTACTTCAAATGCTGACAGTCTCCCATCTAGATGGAAAATGACAAGAAATTACCAGCGCTGATTTTTTTTTGGTGCACATTTAACCCCTCAGAAGCAGTGCTGATATGAAAGAGACCAGATTTGCGTTTCTTCTCACAACTTCTCACTGACACAGTCCTCGGCCACGTGCTGACCCCTGGGCCCCAGGCCTGGCGCGGGCTTGGCCATGCAGGCACCCGACGGGGAACGGCCTTCCTGGGCTGGTTTCTGCTGTGCTCCCTTCAGCAGCTTTTTTCCCCTTTCATTTTTAAAATATTTTATTACTCCGTTAGTGGCAAACTTTGAAATTACAAATATCAGATGTGACATTTCCCTCACAAGTAGATGGATAGGATAAAACAAAATTTACCTTTATGGTAAGAAGCAAATGGCATATTTCCCCCAATTTTATCTTTCTCCAGTTTATGAAGATAGTACCGTGTGCCAGATGACACCACTGTGTGCCAGATGTGGGCCATAGATATAGAAGTTTCCAGATTCAACTAATGAGTATCTACTATATATAGTTGTGCTTTTATTTTTTTTTTAAGTTTTAATTTTAATTTTTTCTAGAGACAGGATCTCACTCTGTTATCCAAGCTGGAGTGCAGTGGCCTAATCATAGCTCACTGTAGCCTTGAACTCCTGAGTGCAGGCAATCCTCCCACCTCAGCCTCCCAAGTAGCTAGGACGACAGGCATGTACCACCATGCCTGGCTAATTTTTAAATTTTAATTGTTTTAGAGATAGGATCTTGGTATGCTGCCCAGGCTAATCTCAAACTCCTGACCTCAAGTGATCCTCCCATCCCTACCTCTCAAAGCTCTGGGATTACAGGTGTGAGCCACTATTCCCAGCCATAGCTGTGTTAAAAAAAAATAACCTTTTAAATTTTAGAATACTTTTACATTTACATAGAAGCAATGGAGATAGTACAGAGAATCCCCACGAAGCCCACCTCCACTTCCCCTGTTGCTAACATCATACATTAATGTGGTACATTTGTTACAATTGATAAACCAATACTGATACATTATTACTAAAGTCCACACTTTATTCAGATTTCCTTAGTTTTTATCTGCTGTCTTTTTTCTGTCCCAGGATTTCACCCCGGGTGCCCCATTGCATTTAGTCATCTGTGTGTCCTTAGGCTTCTCTTGGTTATGACAGAAACTCTCCTATTTTTAACAACCTTAACAGCCTTGAGGCATTACTGATCAGGCATTTTGTAGAATGCCCCACAAGTTGGACCTGACTAGTGTTTTTCTCATGATTAGACTGGGGTTTTATGTTTTGGGGAGGAAGACCATGGAGGGGAAGTGCCATTTTCATCACATCATATGAAGGGTACCTTCTGTTGACATGACTTGCCACTGTTGGTGTGAACCCTGATCACCTGGCTGAGGTAATGTTGGTCAGTATCTCTACTCAAGTTTTCTTTTTTCCCACTTTCCACACTATACTTGTTGGAAGGAAGTCACTGTGCAGCCCGCCTAATGAGTGGGGAATTACTCCACCTCCTTGAGGGCGGAGTATCCACATAAACTATTTGGAATTCTTCTGCACGGGAGATTTGTCTACTTTCCTCTATTTATTTAGTCATTATTTGCAGTATAGACCCGTAGATATTTATTTTCTAGTTTGCATTATAATTCAATGCAACTTTATTTTCTTGCTCAAATTGTTCCAGCTCTGGCCACTGGGGAGTTAGTTCCTATATCTCTTTGACACACCCCATCATTGTGTGTTTGTATGTGTTGCATGTTGTGTTTGTGTTATATTTCACCTCATGCTCATCTTCTATATTTCCTGCCCTAATCTGAGAATCAGCCATTTCTCCAAGAAGCCCTGGTTCCTTGTACTGGAGAATGGTATTAGAAACCACGATCTGGGTAAAATCTCTTCCTTTCTATTTAAAATCAATAAATAATTTTTTTTCTATTTTTAAGCTATCTTCAAACCTCCGAAATGATAAAATTCTTCACTTAGCACTAGTGGCTTCTTTTCAATTAGTTACAATACCTTGCTTTATAATAATTTCTTATGAATTGACCAGTTTTTACTATTAAGAAGGGATTCATCCTGCTGTTTATTTATCCTGCCATTTTCAGCATTCTGAAATGTCTGTAGCATAATGACACAGATGTACTCGGCGGGGGGGGGGGGGCCAAGTGACAGGATTGAGTAAGCCTCAGAACCTACTTTTCTTGATATTGGGGCCAGCAATTTTAAAAGTCCAAATGATAATGGTTTATTACCTAACATCACACCATTCAGAACATGAATAAATGAAACAGGGGCCTTGTGGGCCCACGGCTATCTTGCTGTTAGTACCTGGGATTTATTCCTAGGTTTGTTTTTCTATAGCTAACATACCTTTGAAGTTTACTTTGCTCTTACGACTCGAAGCAATGAACCAGGAAATAAAAGAACGCTAAGACAACCATGGGTTCTGGTGGACAGCCATCTGTTTCTCTGCTGCAGGTCTCACGGGTCTCCTTCCCTTCCAGGTCTGACTGAGATGGCAGTCTTCAGCTGTGAGGCCCACAATGACAAGGGGCTGACGGTGTCCAAGGGCGTGCAGGTCAACATCAAAGGTAAGTGGCAAGGCCAGTGGTCTTGAGTGTCCCCGGGGGCTGTGGGAGCCCAGCATGAGCTCTGAGGACAGCTGCCCAGCTTCGAGTCCAGGCTTTCCTGCCAACAGTCTTTATGACCTTGGACAAGTCACTTCACCTATTTGGTTTCAGTGCTCCCCTCTGAAAAACGAGGGTAATTACAGAACTTTTCACTTGTTGAGGCTTAATGATATAAATGCAGGTAAAAGCACTCACAACGGTGCCTGGCACTTAAGTCTTTGATAAACATTCACTAGCTTTGTTCTGCTTAGACCAATAAGGAAATAAGCTGCCCTTCATCATATTAACTCCAATTTTCACTTTTCCCTCTTCTACCCTGACCTAGTCCTCATTAACTCTGAAGAGCCCTGGAGATGGTGTGACTTGGGGCATGATCTAGGGCAGGGGTCCTCAAACTTTTTAAACAGGGGGTCAGTTCACTGTCCCTCAGACCATTGGAGAGTGCGCACTGTGGGCCTGGGACAAGTCGGCTGCTAAACAGGACAGGCAGCTGTGGCAAAAACACCCGGCGGGCTGGATAAATGTCCTAGGCAGGCAGCATATGGCCTGCGGGCCATAGTTTGAGGATGCCTGATCTAGGGAATGGGCCCTGTCCCTGTCATCTGGGCCTGACACCAGTCGCTGCCAGCTGCTGACTCAGCGGGAGGAGTGGAGAACAGAATCAGAGTCACTCTCCGGGAGCCCAGTGCTCCTATCCCTCTATCTCATCATCTCCCACTTCCTCTTGCTTCCTCTGAGCTAGGATTTCACTGCGGCTGTGCGCTGTGCCTGCTTGTCAGTGACTTACACACAACAACAGAATTAAAGGCACCTGTTTGAAGGTCCCTCAGCCGAGTGGAGACATTCCAATCCAACCCATCTACCTTATCCTCCTTTTTGGGATCCAAGATGTTTAAACCTGAAATTTGAAAAAAAAGGGAAAACCCACAAGTAAATGCTGTCTTTTTAAATCTCTTTTCAAATCATCTTCATTATTCTGTCATAGAAATTCAAGCAAATTTTATATTTTACTATTTGATCTTAACTTAGATATTGTGCTCATATTCTTTTCATCTTATCCTTGAGGAAACAGTGCCAGGAAAAAGCAGGATGTATTTAATAATGAGTTAAAGGTTGGGTGTATACAGAAGGGGATTCAAAATTATAAAATATGTTATACTCAAAAAAGGGACTGTTTTCAGTTTCAGCAAGTCAACTGGATGAAGGCTATGAATGGGCATTTTCTAAATGTTCACCGGAATAAGAAAATTAGCAAACTGAAAGTTATTAACTGGAGGAAGTGTATAACTTCCTTCCTTCATTACAAATCTCATTATTACAGTTTTCAAAAGAAATGTTGGGAATTTCAGAAATTCATGAGTGGGTGTAAATTTGTAAAGATATTTTCATAAAGTATAAACAAAAAGTTTAAAAATGTATAAAATGAGAAGCACTTTTGTAAGTTCCTGCTTCACACAGAATCTCAGCTAAGATTTTATTTTATTAAATCCTATTCCCAAAACTTATGTTTTTGAAGCCATTTATTGTAAACTTTAAATTTATGCCAAAGCAACCAAGAAAAGAAATGGCCAATTAATGTGTTTAAAAAAAAAGCAATCAAGACTCCTTCCCTCTAATCTGTTATTACTGTGGTATATGTGGTCAAATTTTGATCTTGAAAGGCAGATACTTTAGGGCATTTCTGCAAATAATCTGCTTAGGGAAGTGAGTCAAATACTGTGCTGACTCTTCCCCACTCTCCAAGCTGTGTGTCTACTAGTAGTAAAACCAAAACTCCTGAATCATGTGGTACCCAGTGCACACTGCATAAGGTCTCAGCCCACCCTCCTCCTCCTCCCCTACCCATTCTGTCATCCCTGCTCCCCCCCCTACACCTGTCCCAGGTGGGGCAATGCTGTCACTATCCCCATTTAGAGAGGGTATGTAACTGTGCCCAGGGCCATACGGCTGCTCAAGTGTAGACCAGGTTCCCGGTCCCTGCTGGTAGTCACGCCTGTCTGCTTGCTGTCCCCTGCAAAAGGCCTCTAGTGTCCTGTTGAGAGACACAAGCTCTGGGGTCAGGCAGACATGAGTTCAGGTCCCCATTCTACTGCTTACAACCTCTCTGTGACCTTGGGCAAGCTTTTAACCTCTCTGATCCTCAGTTTCCTCACCTATAAGTGGGGATTTTAAGACCACCTCTCTAATAAGGTTCTAGTAATGATTAAATGAAGAAGTCCACAAAGTGTGTGGCACATAGTAAGCACCCCAAAATGTTAGCCATCAGTTTTGATTATGCATGTAATTATTATTCAGAATTAAATTTAGCACAGAGAAATAAGATTCCCCAAACTTCACTTCCTCCTCAGATTCTAACTGAAAGGATAGCTAATCCTTGCCCCACGTGCAGCCCAGGTCCTTGCACACTCATTGTTGCACACACATGCCCCTCCCCCAGCAGATGCAGTTGGCTCCTTTGCTTAAACTGACTCTTACCTGTTTCCTCATCCTAGAAAGCTTCTCCCCCTACATGCACACACACACGCATGCACATATACACACATGCATGCACGCACACACACGCTCCTGTGGCACCCTTCTCTTCTGGGCACAGGGTGCTGTTATCCTCGGTTAGTGTGGGTCTCCCCCAGTGGACCATACACTCCATGAGGGCAGGGCAGTGACTCTTTGTCCCTGTTCAGTGCACCAGTGCCCACAGAGGTGGCCGCACACAATAGAGTCTTGAACATGTGCTCAGTAAAAGACATGAATGTCTCTACATCCTTTTCCAGTTAAAAGGTCTCCTCCTTTCATCAGTAGGAAAGTGGGTCTGTGTTCCACTTCCCTGGTCCATCACAGGAAGACTTCTGTGCAGGCTAATACGATTATTTTCAAGCTAGGGTGGCTTCTCTTAAATACACGTATTTCCTTTTGTTAATCTCAAGAAACTAAAACAAGCTGGGTATTAATGCATTTGTTTGGTAGCTGTGGGCTCCCGTGGTCTGTAATTGTGTTCATGTGTGTGTGTCTTTGTTTTTCCGTAGCAATCCCCTCCCCGCCAACTGCGGTCTACGTGCACAACAGTACAGCACACAGCATTCTGATCTCCTGGGTCCCCGGTTTTGATGGATACTCCCCGTTCCGGAATTGCAGCATTCAGGTAAACCTCCAGGATGAAGAGGGGAGTGATTGGTGCTCTGTGAGTCTATGTATTTTTCTTCCTCCCGAGGATGGGCATGGAGGACATTTCTCCACCTCTGCTCAGAGTCCCTCGGCCTCCCGCCTCCTGAGTGTCCACCGTGCATGCGCCATTCTGTGCCCGTGCTCTGTCCACGATGCTGCTTGCTTCCCATGCCTGGTCCGGGGCCCAACAGAAACGTGTTTCCATGGAAGCACATCATGAGACCAGGGAGAATTAATTTTAAGGTACAAAAATATATCACTAAATGAGGGCTGTCTTGTGACCAAGAGTTGAGGAAGCCAGGCACTCCTCAGTGAGCTGCTGGCAATGAGGGATGAAAGGATAGGTCATCTGTGCTAGTATATGTAACACCTTAGCCAGCAGCGTCACCTGGGAGAACTTGGGGATTACAGGCCTTGTAGAGTCTTCAGTCATTTTTATCCACTACCTAAACTTTGTATGAAACAGGAATATAAGACATAGAAGTTAGCCATCCTACACTCTGCTTTTGAGTGTTCATTTCATACAATTGGAAACAGTGGCAACAACGCTACTGTTTGCTAAGCACCCACAATGGCCCAGTGACTTTGCAGACCTTGTGTTAGTTAAAACACACCAGCGCTCCAAGCTCAGAACACTCACAGCCTATGAGTGGCAGAACTGGAATTCTAGCCCAGGGAGCTCTGATGCCAAAAGCAGAGCTCAGAACCGTCAGCTCTGCGCTCTCAGGAGAGACATTGCATGTGAGGACAGGTTATTGAACATGCAAGGATTATCTGTGGAAAATATGAATGCATTCTGCTTGTACTTTATCATACAGTAGGACCAGGAATTATCTTTAGTTTCCTAAATGTCTGGTCTTATTAGTTAAAAACATGTTAACCTGATACAGGCCAGTCATGCCAATTCAGCTTAGATAAGTGACTTCCAAAGAATTTTGTGTTGACAACCAGATGTTTTTACTACCAAGAGGAATTAATTTCTTTGCTCTGAATGCCTCCCACTCTTATCTGACAGCTGTTCCTTCTCTGAAGAGTAAAAAAAAATATTAACCTCCAAATAGTCTCCTCCCTCAGACCACCACCCCCAGCCTTGCTTAATTCTTACACAACTCAAGTACTGGTAAGTGTTAGGAATTCTTATTGTGCCTACAGTTCCTCCCCAAGGATATCCATTTTTAACAACTTTTTTTGAAATATATTAATATTTTACATACCATAATATTCACCCATTTAAAATATACAATTCAATGTTTTTTAGTACATTCAAGAGTTGTGCAACCATTACTACTATCTAATTGTGTCTATATTCATAAGAGATATTTGTGTGTAGTTTTTCGTGTGATAGCTTTTTCTGGTTTTGGTATTAGTGTAATACTGGACTTGTAGAATGAGTTGGGACATATTCCTTCTTCTGTTTCTTGGAACAGTTTGTAAAAGATGGATGTTAATTCTTCTTTAAATATTCAGTAGAATTCACCAGCAAAAAATGCCATGTGGTCCTGGCTTTTTCTATGTGGGAAGTTTTTTGAATATTAGCTCAGTCTTTTTACTTGGTATAAGTCTATTCAGATTTTCTATTTCTTCTTGAGCCAATTTGGTAGTCTGTGTGTTTTAGGAATTTGATCATTTTATCCAAGTTATCTGATTTGTTGATATGCAACATAGTTCATAGTATTCCATTATAATCCTTTTTATTTCTTTGAGGTTAGTGGTAATGTTCCCTATTTCATTCCTGATTTTAGTAATTTGAGTCTTCATTCGTATTTTTCTTGGTCAGTCCAACTAAAGGTTTGTCATATTTTTAAAAAATAATTTTTATTTATTTTTAATTTTTGACACAGGGTCTCACTATGTTGCCCAGGCTAATCTCCAACTCCTGGGCTCAAGCAGTCCTCCCACTTCAGCCTCCTGAGTTATAGGCATGCGCCTGGAATTATAGGCATGCACTACCATGCCTGGTTTGTTACTTTTATAGATCTTTTCAAAGAACCAACTTTTGGTTTTGTGAATTTTTCTAATTCTCTATTTTGTTCATTTCTGCTTTAAGCTTTATTTCCTTTCTTCTGTTTGCCTTGGCTTAGTTTGCTCTTCTTTTTCTAGTTTCTTAAGGTGGAAGTTTAGGTTATTGATTTGAAAGTTCTTTTTCTTTAAACATAGGTAGGCATTTATATCACACATTTCTCTTTAAGTACTGTTTTAGCTGCATCCCATAAGGTTCTTTTGTTGTCGTTCATCTCAAGTTTTTTGTCATTTTCCTTGTGACGTCTTCTTTGTCCTCTTGGTTATTTAGAAGTGTGTTTTTTAATTTCTATATAATGGTGAGTTTCTCAAACGTTCTCCCTTTGCTGATTGCTAATGTTATTCCACTGATTTTGGAGGATATACTTAGTATGATTGCAGTCCTTTTATATGGATTAAGGTTTGTATTATGGCCTGGGTTCTGTCCAGGGGAACGTTCCCTGTGCACCTGGGAAGAACGTATCCTCAGCTGTGGTTGGGTGGAGTGCTGTGTGTGTGTTGGTTGAGTCTAGCTGGTCTACAGTCTCGTTCAGCCTTGTGTTCCCTTGTTGATCTTAGGACTAATGGTTCTATCTGCTATTGAAAGTGGGGAAGTGAGGTCTCAGTTCTTATTTTTGAATTGCTTATTTCTCTCTCCTCTCTCTTCAATTCTGTCGGTTTTTGCTTCATGTATTTTGTGGCTCAGTTGTTAGAAACACCTAGAGCCTATTTCCCTGGGAGTAGACAGTCATATATGCAGACATAACTGAAGCATGGACCAATTCTTTTTAAAACTGTTACCAAGTTGCTGAGCTGTTTGAAGAGTCTGAGAGGACACGAGGTGCCTTCCCACACGAGGATGGCCCACTCCAGGGAGACTTTGAGGAAGCATACCACCCGACCTCGAGAGAATGGGTCTCAGGGTGGACGCGAGGTGGGGTAGGGCTGTTGGAAGGTCTGAAAACACCAGGTCACCCCTGGTGGTAGATGGTCACACACAAGCTTCGCCTGCTCTCTCTCTGCTGTGGCTTTGGGTGTCCATGTCCCACATGAAGAACCATGCTGGGACAGCCAAATTCTAGGCCCTTCTTGCCCATCCTGGATCCTGTGGTGCTGGACATGCTTATTCTGTCCTTTTCCCCCCCGGCTAGCTTGGCCTCTATTCATCCATTCTCCCTTCCATCCCTGGTAGGGGTGACAGATTTACGACATAAGAATACAGGACACACGTTAAATTACATGAGTAATCTTGTGACATACCTACACTAAAAAATCATTTGTTGTTTTTCTGAAATTCAAATGTAACTGGGTATCCTTTATTTTCTCTGGCAGTCCTGACCGGGTTAGTCAGCTCAGGCTCTGGAAGTTATACTTTTATATTCTATTAACAGTGTATTGTTAGTTTTGAAAGGACCAAGTATAGTTTTGTAAAATTATAATTTTAAACTCTGACTTGGTAACAAATGAATGTTTTGGACGAGGTTCAGATCCACGCACTAGCAGGACACACCCGCTTGCTTCCTTTGGTCCTGATGCTGGTTCCTTTCTTCACCCATTTTTGGGCCACACACTCCATTCCTATTTTTAACTCCCTCACGTACTTTTTGCCATTACATGGCCTCTTTTCCCCCAGGACCCAAGAAGGACTGTTATAGAAACCCCGTCTTCTTCCAGGAACGTGTTCTCAAAGGGTGTCCCTGTGCCTGGAAATGCTCCGAGCATGACTCCGGAAATGGGGCGGGGGTGGACAGCCACAGGTTTCCTCCCCCTTAGCTTTGGTCACCAGGAAGTAGGTGCATACGCTAATGTGAAAAAACAAAAAGTAGTATCTGCCAGCAGCCACCACCAAGATAAGCATACAGCTTTTTGTTTCTCCTTCGGTGGCTCCTCAGGCCAACTGGTACCTTCTTGGCAACCCCCCCCCTTGCGGCTTGGGGTCTGAGTCAGAGGGGAAGCTCAGCCCCCACACCACCCTCATGGTACCCAGCGGGGGCATTTGGAATTCCAAAATGTTTATTTATGGCCCCTTGGCCTAAATTTCAAGCACACATATTCTAGAATAACAGCATTATATATCCACAGCCTATAATTGCAAGCCAATTATTAACAGGAATACATTTTGTGGACTGAAGATTTTTTTCCCCAAATTGCTTTTGGTTGCTTCTGTTTTACCCAATACCCTGTTGTCTCTTCTGACTTTATGAAAACTACATATGGTAGAAATTTTGGAAAAACATGTAGTGGAAAAAAATCCTAAACTCTCCTCTATGCCCATTCCCAGACAGGAGCTATGCTTAGGGGAAAAAGGTGGAAGTTTGGCCTAGAACTAGATTTTTGCTGGAAACTTCCCTCTCTTGCCCAGGCATAGATTTGGAGAAGATTGTGGAGAGATTAGTAGAGTCTGTAGAGGAAAAGATGAAGTGATTTGAAGAAAAGTTTGCAGGGTGAGGGACAAATGACTTTTCCTTTATCTCCCCACAAAAAAAAAAAAAAAGTCATAAACTCTACATGACCTATACGTGCTTTTGGAGGTAAGTTTCCATTGGGAAGGAAGTGGGAATAAAGGACACACTAAAACTAGCCTTAAGGCAAGATTCCTCAGGTCACACACTAAAAGGAATACAGATTTTAAAAAATAAAATAAAATCAAGAAACCCATCTTCTAAAGCAGGATTTGGAAATAATTTTCTTTAAAAGGCCAGACAGTAAATATTGCAGGCTTTGCCAGCCACATGCGGTATCTGTTGTCTCTGTTGCATGTTCTGTGAAGCAGCCGAGAGAAGAAATCAAGAACTGCGGCAGCTCTGAGAGAGGAGGGGCCACTTTGTTTTATTTTGCAGTATAATATGAATTATCATCGTTATAATATTACAATTATTTGCTCTGTTTCCTGACACAGTGAGAGTGGTTAATTTAGGCGTTTTCCTCAGGTCCCTGGTCATTGCCCGAGCAGCATGAATAAGGGACGGTAATGCTGCTGGGAGAACGCCCGTGTTCCCTGAAAGGAAGCGAGGCCTTCCCCTTGGAGCAGAGGAAGCGCCGCGTGCGCTGCGTGCATGCCTGCCCGCGTCTAACGTTCCCACCGCCTTACTATTAATAATGCCCGGTCCACATCTTACTCTCGTTTAGGTCAAGGAAGTCGATCCGCTGAGTAATGGCTCAGTCATGATTTTTAACACCTCTGCCTCGCCACATCTGTACCGGATCGAGCAGCTGCAAGCCCTGGCCAATTACAGCATCGGTGTTTCCTGCATGAACGAAGTAGGCTGGTCCCCAGCCAGCCCTTGGGTTCTGGCCGGCACGACCGAAGGAGGTAATTCCTGGGGGTCAGGGTGAATATTGCCCCCAGTGGCATGTGATCGAGCAAACCCTTTTCAAAGGCTTGATTTAGAGTTTAAGCTTTGCTGTGTTTGGACTTTCTCTGGAGGAAAGTTTTATTGAGGTGGCGGATGAACATGGGAAAGATTTTTCCTTCTATACTCAGAAAGGGTTTAGTGACAAAACTTGTCATATAGAGATAATACTTTCTTTTACATAGGAAGATAGCACACTTTTTAAAACGTGTTATTTTAAATTAAAATATAACAATACACAAAAGCTATTATTCATAGCATCAAACTCAAGAAAAGTAACAATGTGCGGATGCCTAAGGTTCACCAAGCAACCACTGTGTGCCTGGAACCCAGCTGGGTGCTCTCCACCCACTGTTTGATTAGATCCTCACAGCAGCCCCATGCAGTGGATACTATTATCTCTGTGTTTTCTTGGCCAAAGCAAATTGCGTGTGCATCTTTAACTTTAAAGACTTTTCTGTGTGTTGCTTTTGATTTTGGAAATTTTTTTCTTTTCTGTGAGTTTTGGAATGACTAGTGCAACTCTGTTAACTTTGAATTGCAGTTTCCGCTACTCCCTAATTTAGAACTCTCGGTTCTTCTGACTCTCCTGACCCTCCTCTCTGTCCTCACGCAGACTGGAGTCAGTGCTCAGTCTTCATGCAGATGGCGGGACAGGTCTGGGGCAGGAATTTGGAGGGCTTGACCCTTGTACAAATTTTAGTGCCAAAATTGGAAAATATCTTTTATTTTTCACATGAAAAAATAAAGCCTTTGAAAGTAATTTTGATATGCTGTATTTCCATTTTCATTCAATTCAAAATACTTTCTAGGAAGTATCTGTTATGATTTCTTCTGTGACTTGGTGGTTATTTAGGTATGTAACCTAGTTTCTAGAGGTCTTCATAGTATTGACTTCTAATTTAATATGATTGGGGCCAGGGAACATAATTTGTATGACTTGACTCCTTTTAAATTTATCAAGGTTTGTTTTATGCTCCAGAATATGATCATCTTAATAAATCACCTGTGTGCATGTGAAGAGATTGAGTATCCTGCTCTTACTGAGTGTTCTATAGATGCCAACTGGGTCAAGTTGGCTGATGATGTTTTTCAAATCTGTATTCTTATCAATCTTCTGTTTACCTATTCTATGAATTATTTATAGAGGGGTATTGAAATCTGTAGCTGTAATTGTGGATTTATCAATTTCCGTTTGCAGCTCTAGCAGGTTTTGTTTCAAATGTTTTGAAGCTCTATTATTTTGTGTGGAAATGATTAATATTACTATGGTTTCCTAATAAATTGACTAGTTTATTGTTATGAAATTACTTCATCCATGATAACATTTGTTCTGATATTAATATAGCTACTTCAGTTTTATTTGGATTACATGCTATAACTTTTATTCATCCTTCCTTTTTTTTTTTTTTAAGAGACAGAGTCTCACTCTGTTGTCCAGGCTGGAGTGCAGTGGTGCCATCATAACTCACTTCAGTCTCAAGTGATCCTCCTGTCTCAGCCTCCTGAGTTGTTGGCTCTACAGGTGCATGCCACTGCACCTGGCTAATTTTTGTTAATTTTTTTAGAGATGGGGTCTCACTATGTTGCCCAGGCTGGTCTCAAACTCCTGGTCTCAAGCAATCCTCCCACCTCGATCTCTCAAATTGCTGAGATTATAGGCATGAGCCACTGTGCTCAGCTCTCACCTTACTTTTAACTTATTTATATGTTTATATTCAATATGTTTATATTCAATTGTTTCAAATAGAGAGCATATACTTTGTTAAATATGTATGTACATTCAGAATACACCTTGCTTTTTAGTCCATTCACAATCTCTATCTTTAAATTGGGGTCCATTAAAATGTAATGTGATCATTCAAATGGGTAGGTTTAAATCTATTACATCTTCTGTTTGTTCTATTTGTAATTTGTTCTCCTTTTTTCCCCCTTCTTTTTTGTTGGTTAAGTATTTTTATGATTCTATTTTATCTTATTTGTCAGCTTATTTGACGTAACTCTTTTTATGTTCTTTTAGTGGTTACTTAGAATTTATAGTATGTATGTTTAATTCGTCACAGTTTACCCTCAAGAGATTTGTACAATTCAGGCATAGTGTAGGGACCTTGCAGTGGTATACTTCCATCTTTCTTCTTCAGATATTTTTTGCTATTGTTCTCATACATTTTACGTTTTTATGTATGCTATCAACCCATACTGCATTGTTGTTATTTTTGTTCAGTCAATAATCTTCTAGAGAGATTTATATAATAAGGAAAACATATATTTCCCCATGGAACCATTTCTGGTGGTCTTCATTTTTTTGGTTTTAATATTTCTTCTGTATCATTTTCCTTCTTCCTGAAGGACTCTTCATCATTTCTTATAGTGTGAATCTGCTGGTATGGTGTTCAGCTTCTGTATGTCTGTGGAAAAAAATATTTATTTACCTTTGAAGTACTTGGTTTTTGGTTTTGTTTTGTTTTTTGGGCCTTTGTTTTGAAAGCGGTTTTTATTCAATATAGAATTCTAGGTTCACAGTTGTTTTTTTTTTCAGTGTGTTAAAAATGTTGCTCCACTATCTTCTTGCTTGCATTGTTTCCAACATGTAATCTATAGTCATTCTCATTTTATTCCTTTCTAGGTAATGTGTCTTTTGTCCCTGTTTTTCCCCTTATCACTGATTTTGGATAATTTAATTATGATTTGCTTTGGTGTAATTTTTTTTTTTTTTTTATTCCTTGAGCTTGGAGTTCTTTAAACTTCTTGGGTCTCTGAGTATGTAGTTTACATCAAATTTGAAAACATTTTGGCCATTATTTCTACAAATTTTTTTCTGTTTTCACCTCTCCTCTCTTTTAAGGACTCCAGCTACACATATATTAGAACATTTGAAGTTGTCCCTTAATTCACTGATGTTTTGTTAATCTTTTTCTCTTGGCTGTTTTATTTTGGATAGTTTCTACAGCTATATCTTTAAATTCACTAATCTTTTCTTGTTTGGTATCTAATCTGCCATTAATCCTATCTAGTTTCTATTTCATTTCTCATGTTGTAATTTTTGTCTCTTTTTTCATATTTTTCATGTGTCTACTCAACTTTTGGACCATATAGAATACAGATTTTTTTTTTTTTTTTTTGAGACAGAGTTTCGCTTTGTTGCCCAGGCTAGAGTGAGTGCCGTGGCATCAGCCTAGCTCACAGCAACCTCAAACTCCTAGGTTCAAGTAATCCTGCTGCCTTAGCCTCCCAAGTAGCTGGGACTACAGGCATGCACCACCATGCCCGGCTAATTTTTTTCTATATATATTAGTTGGCCAATTAATTTCTTTCTATTTATAGTAGAGACGGGGTCTTGCTCTTGCTCAGGCTGGTTTCGAACTCCTGACCTCGAGCAATCTGCCTGCCTAAGACTCCCAGAGTGCTAGGATTACAGGCATGAGCCACAGCGCCCAGCCTAGAATACAGATATGATAACTGTTTTAATGTCTTTGTTTGCTAATTCTAACATCTGTGTTATTTGTAGAGTGGTTTCAATTGATTCATTGATACTCCTATTATAGAGAATATTTTGCAGTTTCTTTGCATGCCTGGTAATCTTTGGATTACCAAAGAATTTTATGTTATTGGATGCTAGATATTCTTATATTTCTGTAGGTAGTGAGCTTTGTTTTGGGACACAGTTAAGCTAGGGGGAAATAATTTGATCCTTTTGGGTCTTGTTTTTAAGATTTGTTAGACAGAACCAGAGCAGTGCTCAGTCTAGGGTCATTTATTACCTACTGCTGAGACACAGTCATTTTCTCAATCATGAGAACTGTTTCTTATCTTTGGGTATATTATTTTTTGTTTGTTTGTTTTTTAGTTTTCTCTAGTTCTGTGCACTGGCTTTGTCTCCTCTGAGCCCTCCGTCCTGTGTGTTTATTTGGTCTCTGACATTCATGAAGGAGACTTCCCCAGCTAGTCTTCTACTGTCTGTTCCTACTGAAGAGTGAAGAACCAGCAATTTGGTTGGAAATCTGTGAGTGTGGGCAGGGCTTGTAGGCTTCACTGTTAGGGGATTGGACAGTGACCTAAGTGTTCTGGTTTAGATACCCCCAAGTATCAAAATTGGGTTTCTTTCCTCTGTGGCTACTCACTCCCTCTAGAAAAGGAGTCTACTGGCCCCTGCCCCAGGACTTTAAACATGGCTGCTGATGTTCTAGGAGCCCAGGTGGGAGAAAAGGGTTAGGCGAGCCCTCCTTATTCAGTGTACAAACTTGCACTTATTTCCCTGATTTTCAGTCTGGACCTCCCCATGCCTCCATTCTGCTGGTGCCCTAAGTTCAGTGGCTTTTTGATTCAGAGAATAACCTACCTTGTCTCCTGTGGATATTTGAGGGAGTTCTTACCAGGTGGGTAGGCATGGGGTAGAACAACCCTGAGGAACAACTACTTCTTCTTTTTTGTTTTTTGGAAATAAGGTCCCACTCTGTTGCCCAGGCTAGAGTGCAGTGGTATCAGCCTAGCTCACTGCAACCTCAAACTCCTGGGCTCAAGCAATCCTCCTGCCTCACCTGCCTCAGCCTCCCAAATAGCTAGGACTACAGGTACCTGCTACCACGCCTGGCTAATTTTTCTATTCTTTGTAAAGACTGAGTCTTGCTCTTCCTCAGGCTGGTCTTGAACTCCCGGCCTCAGGTGTTCCTCCTGCCTCAGCCTCCCAAAGGCAACTATTAATACTTCTTAATTAAACTTCCCATTGATCTTCCCAGCTTTAGTCCCCATTTCAGTAGCTGGGCCCATAGCTTCTGAACCTCTCTGTGGTTCTTTGGGGAGTATTGGCTTGCTAAGTTAATTATACCTTCTTCATCTCTTTTTCAGCTTTCAAATATGTGTTGAGATTTCTCTTCTGCTGTTGATTCCTCTTTGCCTTGTGAGTTTATATCTTTTTAAATTCCATACTGTCATCATAGAGGGGTTTGGGGTGGAGGCAGAACATAAACACACGTCGAGGTGGCCATATTTATCCATAAATCTTACAACAGATTTGAAATATGTGACTGATTTCATAGATGGCTACAATTGTATGATATTTCTTTAATGAAATTCATTTTAACTTCATGATTACTGTTCCTGAAATCAGCAGAGACAAAGATGGTTATAATGTCCTTTTGTTTTCCTTTCAGACATATCAGAAATATATAATTTAACCTCCCCTACATATAGCTAGAGGCAACAGTCTAGTATATATTATTCAAATTGTTTTTATTCCTTCTATATATAAAAAATTTATTTTTGTATTTCTAAAATGGATCAATTTATATTTTTTGGCAATTTGATCCCCCTCTTGGATATCTTTTCATATCAATACACATGATATACATAATTCTTTTTAGTGGCCAGGTAGCAAGTATTCCATTGGAAATGTATCAAAATATATATCATAATTATTGACTGAGCATTACATTTATTCCCTTTTGTCACTATTACACTGTAATGAATATAATACCACCTACAGATTAAATTCCTGGAAATAAAATACTTGGTCAAAGAGCATATTATTTTCAGTTTTAGTAGATATAATCAAGTTCCTCTCTCCCCCAAAAAGACCATAGTAATGATCTTGACTTATTTCCCAAATTGTTTTATTTATTTATTTTTTCCAATTTTTTTTTTTTTTTGAGACAGAGTCTCACTTTGTTGCCCAGGCTAGAGTGAGTGTCGTGGCGTCAGCCTAGCTCACAGCAACCTCAAACTCCTGGGCTCAAGAGATCCTCCTGCCTCAGCCTCCCAAGTAGCTGGGACTACAGGCATGCGCCACCATGCCCGGCTAATTTTTTCTATATATATTAGTTGGCCAATTAATTTCTTTCTATTTATAGTAGAGACGGGGTCTTGCTCTTGCTCAGGCTGGTTTCGAACTCCTGACCTCGAGCGATCCGCCTGCCTGGGCCTCCTAGAGTGCTAGGGTTACAGGCATGAGCTACTACCACGCCCAGCCCCCAAATTGTTTTATGCATGTACACATACACACAGATACATTTTTTAACGTATCAACTGGTTAGCTCTGTTCAGACCACCAATAACCTGCCTCTACACTGTAAAATGATGGCTTCCTTTTGAGCTCAGCAGTGTATCCTGTCTTGTGAGTCTCAAATGCCACGGCGCTGATCTCCAGCCGGCGTGCTGTCTTTCCACCCCACAGCTTTCTGTTGGAGGACCCTGAGTTGAGTCTGCTTTGCTTCCACGGGGGTCCATGAGAACAAACCATCCTCCTGCTTCCCTGCCTTCCTCTCCTCTGTTCCTTTGCCCTGGGTGCTCATGACATTTTCAACTTCATGAATGAATCTTGTAGCCTGAAAGGGCTTAGTTGTCAAAACTCACGTGGTATCTCAGTGGTCCTTAATTGAAAAGAGGGTGAATATCTGCTATTGGTCTCTGTCTCACTTGAGTGCTTTTCTAAGAGCATTTGAAAACCACACACTCAAAAACCAAGACAAGAATGAATCTATATGTGCTTCTCTCTGTGGTTCTTCATCCTCCTCTCCTTTTTCTTTTATAGCCCCGTCAGCAGCCCCTTTAAACGTCACTGTGTCTCTGAATGACTCTAGCAACGATGTGGACGTCAGATGGGTGCAGCCGCCAATTAAGCGCCAGGATGGGGAGCTGGTGGGCTACCGGATCTCTCACGTGTGGCAGAGCGTGGGGACTTCCGTAAGTCTGAACCCTAACAGGGCACAGTTAATCATCTCCTTTTGACTGGCTGGTTTAATTCTGTTTCAGAAGCTTCCATTTTGTCGTGAGAAGATGTGGTGTGATTGAGCTAGGGAGGAAACCTTTCGGTGGAATATAAATACTATAGTAAAAATTAGAGGTGACTGAATGGTTGAAAATCCTGAGGAGTCTCTTGAGGAGTTCCTGACTCATTCATCCATTCATTTAATTATTTAGTAAATCGCTGTAGAACTCATCCTCTGGTATCACCTCATTTTTCCCTTCAGGGAATTTAGGCTCCTCTGGGAAGACAGTGTGAACTACCCAGATACTCATAGTGCGAGGTCAGGGAGTAACAGCTGGCAGTTCATAGCCTTTGGGAAATTTCAGGGGATTCTTTTCAGAAGAAGATTGTCAGGGAACAACCCCAACCTCACAGAGAATAGCAGACGCCCAATAAGAGGACCAAGCAGGGGAGCTGGCTGGCCTGGCACAGCTGCATAGGAACTGAAATTAGGCATGAGACTCCATGGGCCAGAGAAAGGGAATTTGTCACCCCATGGAATATCAGCCTGGTGGCACAGGTTCCCTGCCCTCCAGTCCCATGGGGCGATGTGATGAGCTCAGATGGTGGGCTGTTCAGCTGAGGGGCCCAGGGTTGAACACTTTGTGTAACAAGCAGCAAATAAGCCCATCCTCTGTGCAGCTGCACAGTAGTCATGCTGTGGCCACCTCAACCTATGTGACCAGCCCCAGAGTGGCTTGGGGTCAGCAGATGATTAGACATTACACTTGCACATACTCAGGATTTGCAAAGTTGTGTGGTGCCTATGGCAGACTGCCTTTTCCAGCAAAGGTGGTACTTGGTTTGCACTTGTGTATTAGTCAGGGTTCTCCAGGGAAACAGAGCTAATTGAATACATATGTGTAGAAAGAGATTTATTATAAGGAATTGCCTCATGCAATTATGGACGCTAAGAAATCCCACAATCTCCAAGCTGGAGACCCAGGAGAGCCGGTGGCGTAATTCAGTTTGAATTGCACCTGCACACACACACACACCCCACACACACACAGATACACCCACATACACATACAAATACACCCCCCCACACACACATACATACATCCACCTCCTTTCCACCAGAGCACACTGCTGGCCCACTCTGGTCTACCAAGTCTGGCCAGGTGACTCAGTAGCTGGCTCCTGCCAGCTAGGAAGATTTTCTTGCTCACTGAGAACATATATCATAATTATCAACAGTGATTGTTTTGAATACTAGTATATGCTTGGAACTGGGCAGGGATGGGGATGGGGGGCATCGATACATCAGGTAGCTCCTGCCTTATAATCTGAGGCTGGCAAGATCCTCTTTAGTTCAGTAAGGACTCTCTAGTGTAAGCACTAGTTTTATTTCATGATAGCAAACAAGCTTTTCTGCCCACTCCCCTCTCCCTCCCAGTGCCACTCGCTCCAGCTGTACCGCTCTGGCTCTAACTCCTGGCTGCAGTCATGATTATCTATCAGGACCTCATCAGCCGCGATGAGATGTTCTCTGTCATTTACAAGATCTGGGAGGTCATGGATGGGCTATAGGGTAGGTGAAGACAGTCAGTAGGACAGAGGGTGACACTGATGACTGGCTTATTGGTGGAAATGCCTCCGCTGGAGGCCCTGAGCACGAAGGTGCTGACAGCATAGTGATCACCACTGTTGATATTCTCGTGAACCATCACTTCCTTGCAGGAAACCAGCTTCACAAAAGAAGCCTACAAGAAGTACATCAAAGATTACTTGAGGTCAATCAAAGGCAAACTTGAAGAACAGAGACCAGAAAGTAAAACCTTTTATTATAGGGACCATGGAACAAATCAAACACATCCTTGCTAATTTCAAAAACTATCCATCCTGTATTGGTGGAAACATGAGTCTGCATTGCGTGGTTGCTGTGCTGGACTACTGTGAGGATGGTGTGACCCGTGTGTGATTTTCTTTGGGAATGGTTTAGAAATGGGAAAATGTTGACAAATTTGGCAATTGCTTTGGCTCTATCACCTGTCATCATAACTGGCTGCTGCTTGTAACCCATACAACACAGACTTAAGACAAATGGGACTGATGTCATCTTGAGCTCTTCATTTATTTTGTCCATGGTTTATTTGATGTAGAAGCATTGTTTTTAAGAAAAAAAAAAAGTCATATAGGTTGTCTAAAAATCAAACGCATAAAAAAAATTCCACACAATAGCAAACAAAAGGCCAAGGAGATCTATGTGTGAACTAGTGACTGCCTCTCTAAGAACCAGCCAGTGCCCTTCCGATGACTTTGTCAGTCAAACCTGGGGGGACATGTGATTTTGATTTCTGTGAAGTCTGAAGATCACTGCTGTGGTATGAACACTGGACCCAAGACAGAAGTGGGTGGGGGCCGATGAGTGATGATGCCTGAGTGTGGTTGGGTGGGCGGCTTCCAGACAGGTCTCCTTTCCACCTGGGAAAGGAAGAGAGAGAGGTAAAGCTGACTCCTGTTATGACATAAAACATCCACGGACAGGCAGATGCACTGGTTTCATTATCAAGACTGTCTCTGCTTTACCATGATCATGCTTGTTTTGTGTCATCGTATACCTAACGGATCTAACACTAGATGCATCTCCATGGCATTCATACGGGGCATCACATGAAAGTTACACAGCTCCTTGGCTGAAAGATGAACAGGGTGAGTGGGTAGACAGTGGCACCCACTGATGATGTCCAAGCTTCACTTCAATCATTTTTACCCTCAGATCATCCAGCATTTATCAAAATTGCTCTTTTCTGAAAGGACGAGTGGGATTTGTTTTTCTTTTCCTGCCTCAGGTTACCTATCAGAAAGCAGACTGTGGGAAGCCGTAGGTGACGGAAGTAAAGGAAAAAGAAGAGGGCTTAGAAGTTCTTGTTGTTCTGCTTATAGTAACTGATAATGGTGTTACTAATAATCCTGCTTAAAAGTAACAGCTGAAAGAGAAACATCTTTACTGGTCTTTTGTCCCAAGGCATTTGTGCAAGGTGACTATGGATTAACTGCATTTCCCCATTGGCTGAGTTGGGAAATCAAATGCCTCTCTTAGAGAAACACTTTTCTTGTCACAATGCCAAATGCTATCTATACTAAACATAAAGATTCAGTAATGCTATTTCAGTTCAATAGGAATTTTGTCTTTCTCTGGTTGGCAGAAAATAATTATTATCAGCAGACACTGGAGTAGACACCAGTTTGTTTAAAGAGCTACACATCATTCTCTCCTCCTTCTGGCATGGGTGAAGCTACTTTTCTAGAAAGGACCTCTTGAGCCGAGGCTTTCTTTTTTTTTTTTTTTTTTTTTTTTTTTTTTGAGACAGAGTCTCACTTTGTTGCCCAGGCTAGAGTGAGTGCTGTGGCGTCAGCCTAGCTCACAGCAACCTCAGACTCCTGGGCTCAAGCAATCCTCCTGCCTCAGCCTCCCAAGTAGCTGGGACTACAGGCATGTGCCACCATTCCCGGCTAATTTTTTCTATATGTATTAGTTGGCCAATTAATTTCTTTCTATTTATAGTAGAGACGAAGTCTTGCTCTTGCTCAGGCTGGTTTTGAACTCCTGACCTTGAGTGATCCGCCCGCCTCGGCCTCCCAGAGTGCTAGGATTACAGGCGTGAGGCACCGCACCCAGCCGAGCTGAGGCTTTCTGAAGGGCAGCAGTGATGAAAATCTTATGAATGACTGTGGCTGGAGAGCCTTGTACACTAAATGCCATTAACACTCAGCCATGCTGTGCGTTCTTACTGCCCTTTGTTCAGAACGGTCCCCTCTGTGGGGAGAACAATGCTGCCGCAGTTAGGGCTGTGACCTTTCTGGTCACTTACCTCCTTGAAGATGCTGGATCATCTCTAGGAGAAGGTCATTCGTGTTGTGCTCACTTTGTGCGTCACGACGGTCTTGTGACAACAAAGACTTGGTGCCTCCCTTTACTTTGGGAAACATTCTCTGATGCAGCCAAGTTCCAAGATCATGATGGACGACTGGAGGCATCTCAGCATCCCTCGCTCTGATTTCCTTAAACCCCCTTCCTCTTGGAAGGGCGAGGCTGAAACACAACTTCATCTCTAAAATTGTCCTTTCACTTCCATTTTTAGAAAACTGTTACTAAAGCTACTTTTTCTTTATGCAAGTCAGGAGAGTTGGGTATTTTCGAAAGATATCTTCCAGTTACCACTGTAATAAGAGCGTGCAATTTCGGAACATTCTTAGAAGTGGTCTTTGGGTGGGTTATTGCAATTACACTGAAGACAGGCTTGTACCGTTGTGATCCCACAACTTTTGTGCCACTTTCAGATTAGGAACCTCCTGATCTTTACTGCATGGATATGTATTATATGTTAATAAAGACATCTACTTTCTTTTTGTTCTATTTTCTTGATATCCCTTGCCTTCCAAATCAGAGCTTAAAATCCAAAGATAAGGAGCAAAATACAGTCTGTTCTCCTTGAAGTCGGAGCTGTGTCGTGTTCTACTTTATACTGTCTGAACACAGGGCATGGGGATGTGCATTGTAAGCATTATGTGGCACTAGGGACTTGATGTGTGGACCCAGCTATATATCATCTAACCAGGGGCCCCCAACCTATGGTGAGTTGTATAATTATTTCATTATATATTACAATGTAATAATAATAGAAATGAAGTGCACAATAAATGTGATGTGCTTGAATCATCCTGAAACTATCTCCCAACCCCCACCCTGGTCCGTGGAAAAATTGTCTTCCATGAAAACGGTCCCTGATGCCAAAAAGAGATTAGGGACGGCTGATAAAGCAGCTGGAGACTTTCTCTCCCGTGAATGGGACAGTCTTTTGATAAGTGTGGGCTAGTCTTTCCCATTCCCATAAAGTGTCAGTGGATCTTCTATGAAAAAAAGAGTTCAGTGAGCGGATATAAATGTATAAAATAGTCCTTGGTTCCTGAAGCAGCTTTAGAGCTTTAAAAATAAAAGACAGTTTTGTTGTACTGTTGGAGCACTTTAGGTCTCAGAGGCAGGCCCCCGAAAACAGAGTATCTCTCTCTGGCTTTCTTCTGCCCTCCTTTCATTTGCTTCTTTCTTTCCCGAAGGCAGGAATCTTCCCTCACCTTTTTGTCTTGGAGCTGACAATAAAGTAATTTGCTGACTGATCTTATTGATGATAGGTCACAAGACCCTCATTTCAGGAGTTTTGCCCCATACCTGGGAGGAAGGAACACTGCACAGAGAGGCCAAGAAGAATCGGAACAGACAGGCCTTGCTGGTTTCCCCACTCGGTCTATTAGTGTGAGATCATAGCCCTTTTGTCCTATCACTTTTCTTCACAGTTGCCAATCATGTCTATCCAATGAAGTCTCCATAAAAGACCTAAGAAGATGGGGTTCGGAGAGCTTCCCGATAGCTGAACACATGAAGGTTCCTGGAGGGTGGTGTGCCCAGGGAGGGCATGGGCTCTGCACCCCTTCCCACATGATTTTCTGTCCCTTTCTCAAATTAAATACAGAATGACCAACTAGCCCATAGTCAAAAGTGGGTTGCTCTGTGCATCTCTTTGTCCATATGCTTTGTAATATCTTTTATAATAAACCAATAAATGTGTTTTCTGTGAGCCACTCCATCGAATTAAATGAACCCAAGAAGGGGATTGTGGGAACCCCAATTTATAGCCAGTTGGTCAGAAACACAGGTAAATAGCCTAGGGCTTGGGATTGGCACCAAAAGTGGGGCCAGTCTTGTGGGACTGAGCCCTTAACCTGTGGGATCTGACGCCATTTTAGGCGGGGAGTGTCAGAATTGAATCAGGTTGGAGGATGCCCAGCTGGTGTCTTCTACAGAGTTGACTGATTGGTTGCTGGTGGGGAAAAATTCCCACCTACTTCTTAGTCACTAGAGGTCACAGAAGTCTTCTTTGTAGACTGTTGTGAGGTGAGAGCAGAGCAAAAGCAGTTTGTTTTTTCTACACAGGGGTCCTGGTGCTCCCTGCCTGTTTGGATGTAGAAAGAGTCTCTAGGGCCAGGCGCGGTGGCTCACGCCTGTAATCCTAGCACTCTGGGAGGCCGAGGCGGGCGGATCGCTCAAGGTCAGGAGTTCAAAACCAGCCTGGGCGAGACCCTGTCTCTACCATAAAAATAGAAAGAAATTAATTGGCCAACTAATATATATAATATAAAAAATATTAGCCGGGCATGGTGGCGCATGCCTGTAGTCCCAGCTACTCGGGAGGCTGAGGCAGAAGGATTGCTCGAGCCCAGGAGTTTGAGGTTGCTGTGAGCTAGGCTGACGCCACGGCACTCACTCTAGCCTGGACAACAAAGCGAGACTCTGTCTCAAAAAAAAAAAAAAAAAAAAAAAAGTTACCAACAGAAATGTGCTTTTGCTGTTCATTGATGATCCCGGATATGTGTGCCTCATATGACCTGATATTTCTCTCTCTGAAATCAAATTTCTAAAATTCCTGGATAAAGATGTGTTCCTAGAGTTTCATTTCAGCTTTCATGACTCCTAAAATTTTCATTCAAAAAGCCAGGCTAAACACACAATTGTTTCCTACACCAGAGAACACTGTGATCATCAAGGTTTGGAAAAACAGGGAAAGCATTGTGTAAACACTTAGTTCTGGTTGCTTTTCTTTGTGTTTTAATGGCTCACTGTTGCACAGCAGTGGCTTTAAGACATCATAAATTAAAGTAAAACCAGAGTTTTAAGAAGTGAGCAAATTGCGCAGTTGTCACACTGAAAGAAAAAAATAGTATCAGTGCCCTCCTCCTTGTAGATTTTAGCCAACATTCTTATAATTTCAAGGAACAGGAGCCCACTGTGCTAGATCAAGGGTGGTTGGCAGGTGGACAATGTCAAGGGACAGTGTGACTCGGAGGCCTCGTGCTGTGGGTGGTTCTCAGCACGGGAGTCTCAAGGCTGCATCTGCTACGTGTTCCCTCTCTTCTAGAAGCTTCTTTGTGACCATTCAAGTGTCATATCCTCATGACCCTCATTGCCCCCAAGGCCTGAGGTTGCTGTTAGTCCCCACTTGCCTTTTGGCTCCATTGTTTGTCCCGAGTGAGGCAGGAACACTGTGGGGACGGGGCCCCTAGACATGGGTGGGACAGCTGTCCTCAGAAGGAACTGTGGGCGAGCATGTGCCCCTGGAGCCTCGAGTTTCATTTCCTCTTTTCCTCTCTGCCCCCAGAAAGAGCTGTTTGAGGAAGTCGGCCACAATGGCAGCCATGCTCGGATTTCTGTTCAAGTCCACAACGCCACGTGCACAGTGAGGATTGCGGCCATCACCAAAGGGGGTGTCGGGCCCTTCAGTGACCCAGTGCAGATCTTTATCCCCACTCGTGGTGAGAGCTGGGGCCCTCATTGGCTGGTGGAAGGTGGCAGTCCCGGCAGCACACAGGTTGCCAGAGAGTAACCTATGGGGTGGATGGCTGATTAAAGAATGACAAATAAGGACCAAAAGGAATTTTTGCGATGATAAAGTTACGGTAACACACTTCACAGAACTACTGATACCCATGGGTCCTGCTACTGCTGTTACTATTAATGACACTAATGTACTAGGAAGATTAGTCCTTTCAGAATACCAACTTTGACTTTACTTATTGAATTTAGTTGAAATGACATATACTGTACATATCTGAATTTTGGACAAGCAGTGTGGCTAATCCTTAGCCCTCTATGATTGACACTCTTTATTTGCTAGTGCTTATTTTGCTAAGTTTTAAGCAGCACTGCTTGCATGTTTTTACCCATTCAACCCTTGGGTAATGTGCTTTGTGATTTGGTCTGTGCAGAATATGAAATGTTTCCCATGGAAGCCATCCTCTGACTGTCCTGGGCTGACTGAACTAAATGCCCAGCCATGCGTGCTGCTGGCCTTTGCATGTCGCTGGAGTGTCCCTTGGCACGGTGCCACTGTGGTGCCCAAGTGGTTCGAATGCTGTGCTTGATTCTGTAGCCCAGTGAAGCTACCTGTGTTCCGACTCTGATCTTCCCTAGGTTGTTTGATGTTAAACTGCTGTCATAAAATCTACACACAGGTGTCTATATCAGTGTGACTTGTACATTTACAAGTTCACGCCACATATGGCATTTGTACCCAGTAGTAGATGGGACTTGTGAGCGGACAATTGAGTTCTCATCTGTCTGTTCCCAGTGACCTTCAAACAGACTCTCCCTTTTAGTGCTGAAATGCAACCATATGACATTCCTACAGGCCCCAGGCTCAGTACCTGGGGAACATTGGTCACTCATGTTGGGGAGACAGGATGTGTCTACCTTGTGGAAATTCAAGGACAGTGAGATTCTGATTCTAAAGGGACAGTTTGAAAAATCAGAGTTTAAGACTATAGAGTTTTCATCTTCATTCATGATAAATTCTAAAATTTTTTAAAGCTTTGCTATGCAGGCAGTCCTTGCCTTGCACAACTCCGATATGCATAAATTTCAGTTACCACAGTTAAATAACATCAGTTCCCCAACCATACAGTTCAAATTTCAGTTACCATCTTATTAATATATCTACTGTAATTACATAAAGCATAAACTTGCCCACCAGCTCTTCAGGCTATGTATCACCATGTAAATAACAGATGTGAATCGTGACCAGGGGTGTCACTTCTTTCAGAATCTTTTAGCGATTGGTCATTGCATAACCATCATTCAGTTTGTGTGCATCTAATGGAGGCACGTGGCTGTGTTGCCTCCCTGTCTCCAGTGACAAACCCATGTGACACTTTACAAAAACGGGAAATTGAAAGAGGGAATGGGAAAACAAAGAAGGAAGTGCAGCAAAGAAACGAAAAGTGATAGTGTTGGAACTGAAACTTGAATTGAATGTAAGTGGGCCATGGAAAGTTCATACTGCTACTGTTTGATGGACTTTAGATATGCAGCTGAGGTACTTAGTGAAGGTGAAGTTATTGACATAAATGAAGTTGTGACCAAAAAGGATGAAAATGTCCCCAAGAAAGTGACACTGGCAAAAAACTTGACACTAAAGGAATCCACAGAGGTATTTTATAACATTAAAAGCACAAAATATAAAACACTGGAAGTTGATCCAAACTTGGAAAGGTGTGTGACAATTCCCTAAAACTTCAGTCCCACACCCCAGGCCGTGGCTCCCTACCAGTCCTCAGCCTGTTAGGAACCTGTTAGGGCTGCACATCACTGCTCCACCCCTGCCCCTCTGACACCCTCCCCCCCATGGAAAAATTGTCTTCTGTGAGAAACTTAGGAACCCGGCCATACAGCAGGAGGTGAGCGGGTGAACGAGCAAGGCTTCACCTGTGTTTACAGCCTCTCCCCATGGCTCACATCACTGCCCGAGCTCTGCCTCCCCCCACCCACCCATCCGTGGAAAAATTGTCTTCCATGAAACCAGTCCCTGGTGCCAAAAAAGTTGGAGACCACTGCTTTAAAACATAGAAAATATATTCTCTCTGTATCTTGAGTTACATGATTAGAAAAGGCAAACTCTGTTTACCCTACTCTTGATAAGTTTTTTACAAAAAAAAACACCACTTTAATTCTTAATGTTTTAAATTATAGTGTACCAAGTAAATATAAGTTTTACTGTGTTTTTCATTTTTCAGTACATTTATAACCAACATAGTTTTCCCATTGATTTTTAAAATTATTATTTTTTAACTGACAGTGAAAATTGTATGTATTTATGCAGTACAATGTGATGTTTTGATATATACACACATACACACACACATTGTGGAATGATTAAAGCAAGCTAGTTTCCCATTGATTATCAAAATTATCAAAATCGCATGGTCTCAGTGTGCAGAAAGTAAGGACTGCCTGCATTTGTGGATTATAAAAGATAAAAGATTTAACTAAACTCCAAAAGCTTTTGACTGTGTGTTCTTTTGTGTTCCAAGCCAATGTTTCTCATGTATTTTGAATCCCAAAGAGATGTTTGAATTGATTCCGTTGGTATTTTACCAGGTTGGGTAGATTATGCCCCTTCATCAACTCCGGCGCCTGGCAACACAGATCCTGTGCTCATCATCCTCGGCTGCTTTTGTGGATTTATTTTGATTGGGTTGGTTTTATATATCGCACTGGCCATTAAAAAAAGAGTCCAGGAGACAAAGTTTGGGTGAGTGTCCTAGTTGAAAATGTTTGCCCCGTGGTTTTAATTAGGTTGTCGTGCCAAGTGATGATGTTTCCAGTTGGCCCTGCCCCTCATGTTGCACCCAAAGCAAGGGCATGCCTGCCTTGTGCATGCCCAGCTTCCTGACCTCGGCCAATGCCTACAAAGGCAGTGAACAGCAAAAGCCAGCCCTGAAAAGGGTTCTTATACAGACAAGATCATCGGAGGCCTTTACTACTCAAACTGGGTTGCTGTTAAATGAGGATTTGTATTAGAAGCCTTAAAAATGACCCCTATTATTTTTTTAAATGCATGTATAGATGAAAATACAGGAAGGAAATTCATCAAAGCATTAGCAACTCTGGTTGTTATCATTGTGGGTAATTCTGTGTTTCCTTCTTTTTTTGGCCATGCTTTACGTATTTTCTGTAATCATCAGGTATTTTTCTGATACAGAAAAACTATGTTTTAACATTCAAATGAGAAAACTCTCTTATTTTCTATACATCTTACTTTTGTAGCAAATTACTAGTCAAATATCAACAAAAATGAGACACTGTGTTAAAGCAACCTATGAAAAGAAGGGTGTATATAAATGTTTCTGGAACTCAATTTTCTACTTCAGGGCTTTGCAGTGCATTTGGATTTCCATGAAATCCAGTTTATCAATCATGGGTCAGGAGGAAGCATTTTGTATGAAGCAAGTAGTTGACAACCTGGAGTGAGGCAGAATGAAAGAAGGGTGCAAGGCTATGCTTTGGAGGGGGCTGAGCAGCCCTCTTTCATTGCCTCACCTTCAGAATACTGTGAGAACGTTCCACTCACTCTGAGACTTCCATGGGCATGGGAAGGGGCTTAAGATGGGAGGCCAGGCTGCCCTTTACTTATGCTCATCCCAGTCTTAAGGGTCAGTTACCATCAGTCCCTACAACTCTATCATATCTTAGTATATGAAGTCTAAGAATGACACTTTTAAAGAAGTAGACAAAATCTGATCTAAATTTTGAACACACAATTGGCTATAAAATACATCCCAGGGTCTGGGTGTGGTATATGGGTTCCAGATACAAGTATAGAGAACCTCTGCAGAAGCTGCAAAAATAGCTCATTAATGTGTATTAAAGGCCTGCTAGGCACTGGACACTGTGGTATCCTGGGATACAATGGCAAACAAAATCCTGCCCTCGTGGGGCTCACAGTTCATGGGGTGTCAAGCATTAGTCAAGTAGTCACACAAATAAATATAAAGTAGCAACAGTGGTAGATTTTGTATAAAGGGGTAAGTGAGTGCAATAAGATAATCTGACTGCACTGAGAAAGCCAGGGAAGGCCTCCCTGCAGAGCTGGCTGACCTCTGAGCTAAGATCTGAAGAAAGAGCTGAAATTCATTAAGTGGGGGAGAAGGGAAGAGCATTCCTGCTAGAAAGAACAGCACATGCAGAGGCCTTGTGGTGCATAGAGCCTGGCGTATGGAGGGGAGAACACTGGGTGGGAAATTAAAAATTCTCCCACTGGCATCCAGCATTAATTCTGTCACTTGGACAAGCCTTTTAACTTTTCCAGGCTTCCCTGGTACTATCTGTCTCTGAATGGTCTCCAAGGTTACTACCAGTCCTAATAGCTATGGTTCTGAATTGAGACTTTTAGACTCAGTCAGTAATGAAAAGATGCTGAGTCTTAAGATGTGGCTGTCCTTAAGAATTTGTGGCAGAATGCAGTTTGTGTCATTAGGTGGGAATTCATAGTTAGCATTGTTGAAACAATCATTGTTATAGAATGATTCATAGATATATTTGCTTGAGACTGCCTAGAATATAGGTTCGGTAAAGATAGAACCAAGAAAATGATGGCCAGAGCTCCTATAAAGGTCCTGAACTCCCAGAGGGCCTGATAAGGCCTCCTAAAACGTGCAACTAAGGTAGTTACACTGGAGGGGTGGAATGCAACAGTAAAGGGATGTGCCATTGCCTTTTGAGACTTCGGCCAAGAGTTTTAGGAACAGCATGTAGCAATGCAATTTTTTCCAGTCCCCAGAAATTCAGTACCTTTCTGCTTCTTCTGAGGTCTCCTCTTGGCTCCCTCCTTTCTTGTTTTCCTTTAGGAAGAAATTTAATTTTTTTGTTTAGGATGTTATATGTCATGAAAATATTTTGATTCTGGTTTTAAAATACATTAAAGACAAAGAGCTAGCATGAGATCCACAATAGCATGAAAACTCTAACACTCTTAAGAATAAACCCAATAGATGTGCAAGAGCTTTGTGAAAAAAATGATAAACTTCTTGGCAGTGTTGAAGAAGACTTGAATAAATGGAGAGAAGTGTACTACGTTCATGAATGTCAAGAGATCAGTTTTCCCGAAGTTAACCATAAATTCAATATAATCATCCTCAAAATTGCTGCAGGATTATTCATAAAACTCGGCAAGGGGATTTGAAAATTTACCTGGAAGAGTAAATGCGTAGGAATAGCCAAGACAATTTTTTTTAAAAACAGAGTCTCACTTTGTTGCCCCGGCCAGAGTGCCGTGGCGTCAGCCTAGCTCACAGCAACCTCAAACTCCTGGATTCAAGCAATCCTCCTGCCTCCCGAGTAGTTGGGACTACAGGCCTGCTCCACCATGCCCGGCTAATTTTTTCTATTTTTGGTAGAGACGGGATCTTGCTCTTGCTCAGGCTGGTCTCCAACTCCTGAGCTCAAACGATCTGCCCGCCTCGGCCTCCCATCAAGACAATTTTAAAAAACACAAAAGTTTGGGTGGAGGGGGCTAGTCCTCCTACACATAAAAACATGTTGAGTGATTAGAACAGTGAGATATTGGTGCAAGCAGAGAGAACTCAGTCTCCAGAGAGCACCAGGTGCCCATGTATAGGCCACCTGTGGAAACTGAATATAGGATGAAGATAGCATTTCAAATCTGGAGAAAGGGGGTAGGGCACAGTGGCTCACACCTGTAATCCTAGCACTTTAGAAGGCCGAGGTGGGGAGAATCACTTGAGGCCAGGAGTTCAAGATCAAATCTGGAGAAAGGAAAGAATATTCGAAAAAACAGACCTTGTTCTCGGCTCTGGGTAGGAAGAGATGACCAAGACAGACATGGAGCTGCCCACATGTAGCCGATAGTCTAGCAGTTGAGAAATGCGGAAGAAAATGCTCCATGTGAAACTATTTCTATTAGCTAGGCCTCCACTAACTCATAAATTTTGTACCCAAAACATATCATAGACATGATTTGAATTCAACCCTGGTTGTAATAATCTAGGAAAGTTTGAGGTTGAAAGTTGTAGAAATTACCAAAAAGTGGGGCTGCTGAGTACAGCAAATATGTTAACAAGACCACAGTACTATTTCAAATATTTAGGAATAAAACTATTTCTAGGAACCATTAAGCTCAGCAAAAGGTTGAAACAAGTGAAAGCCTGGTAACAGGTTATTTTTATCTCAACTAAAGTCAGTTCCTGTGGGTCCTCCTTACAACAAGACCTATTCATTTGTTCATTATATACAAGCATCTTTCAGTTCATTTTTAAATGAAAATACCTTCATTTTCTACTTATAAAAGTAACATTATTATAGTTTTAAAAAATAGATTATACAAAATAATCAAAAGTAGAAAGTGAAGCCTATCTGTAACTTGGGGTTTCATTCAGTCTTTGTTGTTCTTTTGGCATATGTCCTTCCAAATGTTTTGCTTTGCATAGATATATCTTATTTTCAAAATTGTGTTATCATTTTAAAAATAATCTGTATATCTAAGGTAAATTGAGATTAAGTCTACAATTTAGACTTACTAATGCATAATACTTTCCCACCAACTAGTCTAAAATAGTGACTAAATGGTTTTTGAAATAGACTTTGTTTTTTAGAATAGTTTTAAGTTTATAGAAATATTGAGAGGATAGTACAGATACTTCCCGTATAGCCTTCATCTAGCTATTAATAGGCTACTATTAATAGCTTGCATTAGTATGGTGTGTTAGTGACAATGAACCTATACTGATACATTATCATTAACTAATGTCTATCTTTACTTTATTCAGATTTTTAAAATTTTTACCTATGTCCCTTTTCTGTCCATGATCCCATCAGGGATGCCACATTACATTTAGTTGTCGCATCTCCTTAGACTCTTCTTGGCTGTGAAGTTTCTCAGACTTTCCTTGTCTTCCATGATCTTGACAGTTTTCAGGAATGCTGGTCATGTGTTTTATAGGATGTCCCTCTACTGCAATTTGTTTGATGTTTTGCACATAATGAGCCTGAGCTTATGAGTTATTGAGAGGAAGAACACAGAAGTGAAGTGCCATTTTTATCATGTCCTGTCAATGGAACATACTATCAACATGATTTATCACTGCTGATGGTGACCCTGATCAGCTGGCTGAGGCAGTGTTTGCCAGGTTTCTCTATGTGAAGTTATTTTTTTCTCCCTTTCCATGCTGTGAAGCAAGTCACTGTGCACAGCCCACACTTACAGGGCGAGGATTTAACTCTTCCTCCCCCTTAAGGGCACAGTATCTACATAAAATATTTGAAACTCCTCTGCACAGGAGATTTGTCTCTTCTCCCCATTTATTCAATCATGGTATTTTTTTTGCCTTTTTTTCCCAGCATATTAAGGGGTACAAATGTTAAGGTTACGTATATTGCCCATGCCTCCCCTCCCCGCTTGAGTCAGAGCTTCAAGCGTGACCATCCCCCAAACGTTGCACATCTCTCTCATTATGTTTGTATATTCAATCATGTATTTATCAGTATGGACTCGTTGACCTTCATTTTATACTCATAATCCAGTATTATTTTATTGATATTCTTGCTCAGATTATTACAGTTTTGGCCATTGGAAGCTTATCAGTTATTTCCTGCTTTTGATGGTACCTAGACAGAGTTGTTTTTGATATTGCCAGGTAAGTCTAAAATAGGTCAAAGGAAAGAAACATGTTTCTCCTAGGGGGAAAGTTTTTGTTATAGAAGAGCCCTTTTAAAAGGCAGTGGCTTTGTAGCATCCTTGTGGGATCAGCACCTGCCTTGGTAGCCCTATTTTTATGGTGAGATGTCTTTGTTTTCATTCACCCAGGAACGCGTTCACAGAGGAGGATTCTGAATTAGTCGTAAACTATATACCAAAGAAGTCCTTCTGTCGGCGAGCCATCGAACTTACCTGTAAGTTGACTTTTGTTTCCCTCTTTGACACAAGTTAAAATACACGAGAACGAAGAAAGAACAGATGATTTTAACGAAAGCCAAAGGAGTTGAAGAATGGATATTTAGAAACCAGTCTTTAGAAACCAGCAAGTAGATAGTCAGACATTGCCATGCACATCTCTGCAGGCTGATTTACTGAAATCTGGAGTTGGACCTGGGGTTAAGTAACTGGGGTTAAGGGCTCATAATGTCATGAAATGAGGAGGGAAAGAGGAACCTTCTGGGGTGACAGGAGATGGGTAAAGGTCAGGAATTTTAAAGTAACTGACATAATCTCAGGCCTAATTTCCTGTTTTCCTGGCAACCAACTCAGAGGACAATTTGCCATCATGCTTAGGTTGAGCATTGTGGTATGAGCTTTGGTGAATCAGAGTTGAACCTTCTGGTTTAAAGAGTGGGATCAAGAGGAGGTGGTAATAAGTCATCATTTGTCAAGATGTCTTCAGCACCTGAGCCTCCAACATTTAAAAAGGAACCACCCAAAGAGAAAGACTTTCAAAACCCAGGGCTCAGAGGGGTGCGCACAACAACCTTATTTCGAGCTGTGAATCCAGAGCTCTTCATTAAACCTAACAAACCTGTAATGGCTTTCGGATTGGTAACCCTTTCGCTTTGCATGGCGCATGTTGGTTATCTGCATGCAACACAAGAGAATTAAAAGGACCTCTGTGAAGCTATTGACAGTGAGGGACACAGTTATATGAGGAGGAAAACATCTAAATGGGATTAATAGTGCTGGTGACTGCAAATGTAGCTTTATTCAGGACTCTGAAATCTTCAGATGAAAGACTTTATGAACACACAGTATCATGTTTCTTGTTCTAGAATATGTTAATGAGGAGAGAAGACAGCAGTTGCACCCAGACAACCGTAGTAAATTTTTTCCTTTCATAGCTGCAGCTATCATCTCATTCTTTTTCCACAGAAAATGTCACAATATTTTTCTTTTATTCAATCCTTTTATAAAAATACCATGAGAATAGAAGTTATTTTTGTTAATTATTAAGTTCTATGTAATAAAAATACCCAGTGCTATAAAAAAAAAAAAGAGTGGAATCAAGCAGATAATAATGGTCTTGAATAATTTCAGAAACAGTTTAGTATGTTCTGAAACGTCTGAAAATAAAAAAATAAAAAAAATAAAAAAAAGAAAAAAAAAGAAAAAGTTTAGTATGTATGTGCAAATATTAACAAATTCATGCTCCTGGGTGTTTACCATTAAAAAAGACTTAGAATGATAGAATACAGGTTGCTATGAAATAAAAACTTGCTTAATGTAGCATATTATTAATTACGTTTCTAATTTGTAAGTTTTGACTTTTAGATTTCTCTGTTCTTGCACTTTTTTAATTTTAGAATTTTTAATTTAAAATTTTTAAATTTAAAAAGTTGTTATTTAGGCTGGGCGAGGTGGCTCACGCCTGTAATCCTAGCTCTCTGGGAGGCCAAGGCAGGAGAATCACTTAAGGTCAGGAGTGAGAAACCAGCCTGAGCAAGAGTGAGACCCCATCTCTACTATAAATAGAAAGAAATTAATTGGCCAACTAAAAATATATAGAAAAAAATTAGCCGGGCACAGTGGCATATTCCTATAGTCCCAGCTACTTGGGAGGCTGAGACAGAAGGATCGCTTGAGCCCAGGAGTTTGAGGTTGCTGTGAGTTAGCACTCTAGCCCAGGCAACAAAGTGAGACTCTGTCTCAAAAAAAAAGTTGTTATTTAGACCAATTTTTTTTTCTTTACTGGAGGACCATTGGAGTAAATGTTTTTTCTCTAAGAACTAATGTGTCCTTTCTAATTATCCACATTTTTTCTTTCAAAGGCTTTCTCATGCCTTAACTGTGGCCCAAAGCAAATGATTTGCCAAATAGTTATTGAATTGGTTTCTCCTGGTTAATTCCTCTTGTTGCCAGCACTTGTCAGTGCTGCGTATCTATTATATACTTTGTCATATGACGTACCTTATTGTAGAGGATCTTATTCTCTAGTTCCTCAAAGTACTCACCTTAGCACTTTCTACATCATTATAATGAGGTTCCATAAACCATATGTAAAATAATAGCTTGTTCTCTAAATGTTTCCTGTGGTTTGTGAGATCCCTTCCCTGGTACGGGAGGGCAGAGGAAGTGTCCTAGTGGCTCATTTGTATACCATAGTTAGGGATATAATAGTAAAGAATTCACTAGAAGGTACCTATTAACCTATCTTCCTTATCCCTTTAACCCGGGGACAAACCTCCCCTACGGGAATCTGATGGCAGCTGCTCCTCCCACACAGCGGGAAAAGAAATCATCCTTCCGAATTAATTTTGCCCTGAAGGATTCATTAAACTCACATTAATCATAGTAGAATTAAGTGTGATGTTTTGTTACTGGCACTTTTGGGAGAGAAATAGTGAGTATAAAATGAAAAAAAAAGAATGTTTATTGTATAGGACTTTAAATGTAATTTTAATTATATTCAAATAAAAGAAAGCATGCTGACAACTCCTATGTATACTCTCACTCTTTTCCTAGTGCGGAGCTTGGGAGTCAGCGAGGAGCTACAAAATAAACTAGAGGATGTTGTGATTGACAGGAATCTTCTAGTTCTTGGAAAAATTCTGGGCGAAGGTAAACCGTTTAAAGTAATTCTTTTAAAATGTGGGGTAAAAAGGTAAGAAGTTTATTAAATAAAATACCATTTTATGACTTTGAGTTATAATACAGATAGTTATGTTTTATAATTTAAAATAATGGGGTAGATAGTGATTCTTGAAACTGAGATTTGGCAAATGAAAAGATCCTCTTCTGTACCCTCAAAAAATATTAATTCTCTTTCTTCATTGAAAAGCGTACAATTCATTGATCAGTTTCCTATGTACTTAAAATGTATTCCTCTAGTTCTCAAGTTTATTGTTCTTGGCACCTTTCTAATTAGTTAAATAGGAAGGAAGATGAAAATACATATTTAATTTGGTAAATTGTTCTTAGGATAAATAATAATGGTATTAAGAATGATAATGGTATTAAGAGTTTGTGCTTTATGAACTTTAACAATATGTTTCATGTTCTCCTGTAAGTGTCTTGGATTGTTACAGTGCTTAGTAAGTTGGCGAGCTAAGGTAGGTCTGAGCCTCTCAAGCTCGTGACAAGCAACTAGTGCATAGCACAAGGCCCAGGTGTGCGAGTGCGCGTGTTTCTGTGGTCGAGGGGATTTTGCACAGTGCCCATATAGATGTTTTGCTTCACAGGAGAGTTTGGGTCTGTGATGGAAGGAAATCTTAAGCAGCAAGATGGGACCTCTCAAAAAGTAGCAGTGAAGACCATGAAATGTGAGTTACCAATGATGAAACCCATTCTTCTGGGGCGGGCAGGTGCTTCAGTATTGGGTGCTCCACGAGGCCAGTGATGGTGTTCATATGTTGTGATCTCAGCTGCTGGTAGGTTGGAAGGCAGTGCAGAACACTGGCCACCAGGGGAGTTACCATAATGAGCTCTTCACACACGCATTACATAGTCTTCACGCTCGTGGCAGTAACATTTGTTACCTTTACTATCTCTTGCATGTTCTTGTACACACTTGCACTCTCTATCTCTGTCTGTCTATCTTTTCCTCCTTCTCTCTCATCTAGCAGAGCTAACAGCTCCAAAGGAAGGTGTGAGTTTCTGAGGCAGGGGTGATCTGGTAGTCTGACCCCGGCGGTTGGTCTGGCTGCTCTGTCTAGTGTGGTGGGCCCACTTCCTCATTTGAGGATGATTACATAGCCCTGGGGAAGCTGTGGGCTGCCTGGAAAGTAAGTTTCCCAGAAAGAGGAGAAATACTCTTTGATCAAAGACATAATGAAGAGCTGCTATCACAAGGTAGAACCTCCAAGGAAGCTGGGAAGAGAGCCAGCAGCAGGTCAGGGAGGGCCGTGTTAAGTCATAGCAGAGAGTCTGCTTTTATCCTGCAAGGAGTAAGTGCTATTAAGAGTCTTAAACAAATGAGGAACAGAGCAGGTTACATTCTAGACAGTTCACTTTGGTGTTGGTGTAGAGGAGAATGAATCACAGTGTTGACAAAAATAGTGGTAGATGTCAGTTAGGGTACTAGAATCTGTGCAGACATCTATATAGATAAGGAAACTGTCTTTAGTGACTTGCTGACTTGTCAAAGTGAAATAGCTAGAAAGAGGCAGATTGTGCTGGACTTTTTCATTACCGTAAGATGACCAGGCTTCAGTGGTAGAACAAGGTATCATTTCCCTCCATGTCCTTCCAGCAAGTGCATTTCTGGAGTTGGGGCCACACAACTGTCTCAGTTTGACTCTGCAGGGGTCTAGCCGGTCATGGCCCACCACCAGGGCACCCAGGAAACAGACCATGACCATGTGACATCACACCTGCAGTCTTCATCATGAGTCGTATGGATGTAGATTGTTCGGTGTTGAGTTTGTCAATATTCTTGATCTTGCTTTCTTATTTCCTGTTAAATACTACTTCTGATCAAGGAATAAAGTAAAGTTGGTTTCTTCCTAAGATTTAAATTTATTATTTACTGGACAGTAAAATATAAGTTAGATTAGAAGCATATATTGAGACTCTTAAAGCAAAATTGGAGGCTAAAATTCGATTCACAATAACCAAGTCACATGGGCCAGTGCTTTTTGCTTTTTAAATATATCATAATGGCTAATACTTGTGTGATGCTCGCTGTGAGCCAAGGGACACTGCCACCATTCCTGCATCCATCTGTACAATAGGAACAGAAAGTCAGCACAACTAGGAAAGAGGTTCAAGAACTAGCCCCCAGAAACTAAGACACCCTGAAGTTAGAGTACTCTCCAGGGCTGAACCCACTATGCAGCCACACTCTGCACTGTTCCTGCCTCTTGAGTTATTGTCTTTGAGCCTCATGCTGTGTTTCTGGGGGTGCTTCCATTATCCCTATTTAAGGATGTAAGGCAGGGGGGTTTAGGGAGCCTGAAGGAAGGAGCTGAGTCTAAGCAGAGCCACTGCTTAGACTCAGCGGCCTGAGTCTGGCCTGGCTCTGCTATTCTTTAACTTAAATAGAGCAACTTGCATAGGAATTACAACCAAGCTAATTATCAAAGATTGAAAGCATAGTCTCTGGCCCCTAAATCCTCAGGCTCATCTACATTTGCCTAGAGGTTTGTCCCTTGGGGAAGGGTTTGCAGGCAGATTCATACCCCTCTGTCCCCCCTCACCCCACCCATAGACCTGGTTGTTTGCAGTCAGCAAAGGGAATAGGTGAGGGCAAAGTGGGCAGACGTTTCGCAGGTGTATAGATTTTTTTAAATTATTCTAAATTTGTTTTAATAGGAAGAATAATATTTAATATATATTAAGCCCATAGTATGGTACAGATACTGTGCTAGGTATTCTCATGTGTGATTTCCATCAGCAGTTATGCCCTGTTAAAACAAATTCCCTAAAGCCAGCCTGCTTTATATTTTGTTTCTTTGTTTTTAATTATAGTAAAATACACATAACATAAAATTGATCATCTTAACCATTTTTAAATATACAGTTCAGCAGTATTATGTAAGTTCATAGTGCTGTGTAACCATCACCATCATCTTCTCCAGAACTTTGCATCTTGCAAAACTGCAACTCTGTACCGGTTACCACTTGGTTTTGTGCAGTTCTGTGGGTTCCGACCACTGTGCTAGGTCGCGGACCCACCGTTGCAGGATAGCATGTACAGAACAGTGTCACAGCCCTGAAAATCCCCGTGCTTCAAGTGTTTGTTCCTCTTTTCTCTCCCCCAACCCCCACCTTCCCCAACAACCACTCATCTGTTTCTTGTCCCTAGAGTTTTGTCTTTTCCCGACTTTAGTTTTAAAGAACAAAAATTGCTATTGCCTGTCCCCCCTCCCCTCAACTGAGTAAATTATTTATGCCTAACATTTTCCGCTTTTTTCTTTAGTGGACAACTTTTCACAGCGGGAGATCGAGGAGTTCCTCAGTGAGGCAGCATGTATGAAAGACTTCAGCCACCCAAATGTCATCCGACTTCTAGGTACCTCAGAAATGCGGAAGTGGGGGGCCGAGGGGGCTCAGCAGATCTACTCTGTGCCAAAGGGAAAAAATCTCTGGTGTAGATAAGTTTATGCTTTGTATAAACCCAAAGTATTTTATAACAATGAGTTCTTCACCCAGAAGACTTCTTATGATTACATTCTCTGAGTCTGATAGTAAAGATAAAATGGCTTTGCATTTTCTGGACACAGAAGAGCTCAGGAATGATTAGAGTGTCCACAGAATTCTAGGAGAGTGTGAATTAAATAGCCCCAGCTACTCAAAGGCAAGACACAAGAGCTGGTCATATTATAATTTTTATTGATTTAAGGTTATCCATGAATCAAATGCCACTGGGGTAAAGCTATAAAAGTAGACAGATTCCATAGATCATCTTTGAGAAATAATTTGTTAACCTATTTGAAATTTCTGATTTCTTATGATCATGGTGCATGGATAACTTCATGGAACATGATTTAACAGTTCCATAGAATGTATTTGACATAATTTGTATTTGCAGCTTTGTTGGCTAAAAAATATAAAAGAGGTGATTAGGTATTGAATGGATGCTGTGTAAGTGACACAATTCCAAGAGAGAAGAGCAACCCGGATGGACATAATTGAATTTTCTGCTGACCTCTTTCTTTTTTGTTTCTTTTTTTTTTCTGTGCTGTGAATTTGATACATGTTAAATTCTTTTGGGATCTTTCAAAGTTTTGAATGATTGACACTGCAGAGAGATGTAAAAAACTAATGTTTGGTTACAATATTATGTCAAAGAAACTACTGTTATTCATTCGCAGCTATTAGCTTTAGCAGGCTCTGAGAACAATTGTGCTTTGTAATCACGCCACAAAGGGCAAGTGCTTTGCAAGCCTGGGATCAGGTGACCAGCTGTAGCTCTTGAATTCCATGATAAATGGTAGTGTGGCTTTTCCTTTATGTAACTGTTAAATTTTAGGGATGTAGATTTTATGTATAAGCCCTCAAAATTATTTTAATAGTTTTAAGCATTTGGTTAGTGTGGACTTCTTCATATAAATAAGCATCTGATTATCACATGAAACTAGTTTGCCCTTGAATCCCAATGGCCTCTCTACCCCTCAGTTAGACTTAGTCCAGAAAAACTCCTAGGTTTCTAAAAGGCTGTATTTATTACAAATTCATTTTTCAGAACCCTCAGGCAAAGTCTGGCACTAATTTGAAAGAAGGGGGGAAAAAGTAGTGGGCTCCGAGTGTGTTTCATTTTCTACAACACAGCGTGCCAGTTAGGGGCTCTTGTTTCTCTAAACTGTTAACTTGGTGGCACGTGGTTTCAATTTGGCCAGTGGTCCCCCAGCGCTTTCCTGCTCGCATGTAACAAGGGCTCTTTGTGACTGGGTCTGTGTTTTTGATTTCAGGCGTATGTATAGAAATGAGCTCTCAAGGCATCCCAAAGCCCATGGTGATTTTGCCCTTCATGAAATATGGGGACCTGCATACCTATTTGCTGTACTCCCGACTGGAGACAGGACCAAAGGTAATAATCTACTTGTATTGCCTCTGAACAGTTCTCAGGGCTTATGTGACAGAGCCTGGACAACCAAATTGTGTAACCTTGAAAACGAAAGAGGGAAGGAGAGGACACTGACCTTTGTTCAGTGCCCACTGTGCACCCAGGGGTGAAATGTGGTATGTGTTCTCACAGCAGGCCTGCTCGAGAGTGTTATTATTTCTGCTTTACGGTGGGGGGAGGCAGCTGGGCACACAGTCTCATGGCCAAGATCTCACCGACTCTGGAGTCAGGTGGGCCAGGCTCCCAGTCCTGCACTTCATGCCCCTCGTGGCTATGTACTAGTGCACAGATGATGCGAAGGCCATCAAATTAGTTCTTGGGAACCCTAAACCCACTCCCACTGGCTCTGCAGACAAGCCACCGGGGGCAATTGTCCCTGTGTGCGACCAGTGTGGTGGAGTCCTGCACACTCCCCTGTACCTAGGTTTGCAGTGGCTTGGGGTCAGCCCAGTCACCTTCCCCAAAGTGAAGGTGTGCTATGAGACTTGCTCACAAAGTCTTAATGTTTATTAAGGAAGGTTTATTCAGTCCTTTAGTTCATCCTGTGAACAAGTGCTGGCTCCAAGCAGGATGCTGAGCTCTGGGGACGCTGAAGGAGACGTGACAGGTGTGGTTCCTGACCCATGGAACTAGCACTGCTGGTGGGCGAGGGGGAACAGGAGACAGGTGGTGGGTCATTCCCAGTGAAGGGGAGTGGTGGGGGTGCTGTGGGCACAGAGAGCACAGGGGCCCAAATGCCACGCAGGCTGGGCAGAGCGCCCTGCAGGGGTGGGGCAGGCTGGGCAAACAGGCTGGGGCAGGGGTGTCAAAGCACAGTGGGAGGACCTCATGGTGACCACGCTGGTGGCAGCCAGAACTTCCCCATTTCAGTCACCTGAGGAACGTTGGCAGTTTCGAGGCAGAGCCTGAGACCAGGTGTGGGGGTCACAGTGTTGCCTCACCTGATGAGCTGAGAGGCCGCGCGTTCCCCCGCCCTGCCTGGTCATCTGGAATCTCTGAGTGGGGTGAAGCCAGAGCAGGACGGGGCCCGGCTCATTCTGAAAGGTGCTTGGGCCCTGTGTGCTGTCAGGTAGCCTCTCATTTTTGAAGCCCCCTGTCTTGGCTCATTCAGTATGAAATGGCTGGATGCCAGGTCTGTTTCAGTTCCCATAGGAGCCTGCGGGGCTCTGTCCTCCAGTAGCTCGCTGAGGGTGAACTTACCCCGTCCATCTTTCTCTTTATCGCGAGCCCGTCCATCCTTAGAATCAGAAGATCTGTTGGGAACTGGCGGGCCGGCATGCCTGCCTTCAGCAGTGCCCCTACAGAGGCCAGCACCCCCTGCCCTGAATCCCCACAGCACTGAGAAACCAGGCAGAAACAGGACCTCAGACGGAAGTGCCGAGACCTCCTGCAACTAATGGACTTAATAGCCACAGGTTGCAGGTGACTGATAGAGTTACATGAACTGTGACAACAGGAATGATGACTGTGGGCCTTCATGGGGGAAATCAACTTAGAAAAACACCAGTCTCTTCATCCCAAGAGACAGGTAAATCTGTATAAACAGCCCTTTATTTAAAATGTGGGAAGGTAGTTGAAACAGGCAGACAAAAACATGAGAGTCAAGTTAGGGTCAGCACATCCTGGAACCTCCTCTGCTGTGTCCTGCTGACCCCATTGGCACTTTATGCCTGTGTGTGAGGGAGGGGAAGGGATTTTTGCTTTGCATTTTTTTCCTTTGTTCTGTTCTTCCCAGAGAAGATCTAAGTGACCTAAGTAGGAGAATGGTCCCCTTTGCTCTCTTATAGTTCCCCCCATGGCCCCAGGCCCAGACTTATTCCTGTTCTTTTCCATGTGGCAACTCTTAAGTCTTCCACCAGCATGAGTACTGACCCAGAGACAGGAAATTGTACTGGCCACATCACACAACTATTATAAAATCACTGAGGCTCCTCCAAAGAGGGGAAGGGCCTAGTCCAAAGTACGGAACATTTATGGATGTGGCTGAGTTTTTCTGCTTTCTTCCTAAAAAGGAAGATAATAAAGCATTATAAAGACCCTATAAAAGAAGAAAACATTATCCACAATTTTCAGCACCTTAGTACAATTGTTAGCAACTTTAGACATTCTCCTCTCATGACTTATTCCTGGTCTGTGTGTCTCATATGCTTGTCATCACTACATACACACCTGTGCAGAGAACGACAATGGCTAACATGTCTCAAGCATTTAGCATAGGCCAGCCTGCATTTTGCATGTATTAATGCATTAGGACCACAACAACCCTGGGAAGTACTTACTAATAGAATCTCAGGTGAGGAAACTGAGGCACAGAGAAGACACTGGTGGAAACAGAGTTGGCCTCCAGGGTACAGACTCCATGCCTCCAGCTGTCCTTCCTCGGATTGCCCCATCCCCTGTGTGCCCCTCCCACAGGCCAGCCCCCAGACAGAGCACTGCACCCCATCTCCTTCCCTGGAGTCTGTTTCATGTCGACAGGTGATTTCACTCACATTTAACTTCCTGGTATGTTGTATGGTTTTCCTAATAACTTTTTTTTTAGAGAGATACAAGTTTCATGTTGTACAAGGTTGCATTTTGTAGTAAAAAAATAAAAATACACAGGGCTATTTGATGTCCAAAGATTGTCTTGTGAAGCTTAACTAGTCCCCATTTTTTGGACCCCTATGCAAAAATAGCCTCATATTGTATGTCTTTCTTACATCTTTGTAGAAGAGAAATAGAGAGACAATTTATATGCTTTTTAAAAATATTTTTTAAATTATCATTTTTTCCCATTTTGTTGCATAGTTCTGTGAATTTTAATACATGTATAGATTAATGTACCCATAATTTCAATCAGGATACAGAACAGTTCTATCACCCAACAAAAATTCCCTTCTGTTCCCCCTTTGTCATAACACCTCATACCCCCCCTGGCTAACCTGTGCTCACCACTGATCTGTTCTCTACCACTATGGTTTCGTATTTTCAAGAATATCATATACATGGAGTCATACAGTGGTAATCTTTTAAGACTGTCTTCCTTCACTCACCATTATTCCTTTGAGATGCACCCAAGTTGTTGGGTGTGTCAATAATTCATTCCTTTATTCTTGCTGTGTAGTTTTCCATTGTATGGATATGCCACAGTTTATCTGTTCACCTGTTGAGGGACATATGTGTTGTTTCCAGGTTTTAGCAATCATGAATGAAGCTGCTATAAAATTTCATATTTAGGCTGATGTAGTTCCTCACACCTGTAATCCTAGCACTCTGGGAGGCAGAGGCAGGAGGATTGCTTAAGGTCAGGAGTTCGAGATCAACATGAGCAAGAGTGAGACCCTGTCTCTACAAAAGATAGAAAAATTAGTCAGGCATGGTAGTGTGTACCTATAGTCCCAGCTACTGGGGAGACTGAGGCAGGAAGATCACTTGAGCCCAGGAGTTTCAGGTTGCTGTCAGCTACGATGATGCCACTGCACTCTAGCCTGGGTGGCAGAGGAAGACCTTGTCTCAAAAAAAAAAAAAAAGAAATATATATATATATATACATATATATATATATGTATGTATATGCAAATTTCTGTGTGAAGTCTTCATTTTTCTACAGTAAATGCCCGGGAGTAGGATGCTGGGTCATATGGTAAGTGTGTGGTTAGCTTTATAGGAAACTGCTAAACTGTTTTCCAGAGTGGCTGCACCATTTTACATTCCTACCAGCAGTGTATGAGAAATTCAGTTCTCCTCATTCTTATTAGCACTTGGTATTATAAGTAGTGGTTTTTCTTTTGGTTTTTTTGTTTTTCGTTTTCTGATAGATGTGTAGTGATATCTTGTCATGGCTTTTATTTACATTTCCCTAATGATTAATGATGTTGAGTATCTTGTCATGTCCTTATTTGCCATCCTTATGTCCTCTTTGGTGAGTGGCTGTTCAAGTCTTTTGTTCCTTTTTTTATTTAAGTTGTTGATTTTCTTATTGTTCTTTATATATCCTAAATACAATTCCTTTGTTGGATACCTGATTTCCATAGATTGTTTTCTAAGTTTGTAGCTAGTCTTTGCATTGTCTTTTTTTGTTGTTGTTCTTCATTTTATTTATTTGTTTATTTTTTATTTCGGCATATTATGGGGGTACAGTTTTTAAGGTTTCAATAAATGCTCATTCCCCCCTCCCCCCACAAGTCTGAGTCTCCAGCATGACCATCCCCCAGATGTGCACATCTCACTCATTATATATGTATATACCCGCACCCCTCCCTGCATTGTCTTAACATGAGCAAAAACTTTTAAATTTTGATAAAAGTCCTATATATCAGTTTTTTTCTTTTGTGAGTCATGCTTTTGCCGTCATGTCTAAGAACTCTTTGCCTAACTTCTGGTAAAAATGATTTTCTCCTATATTTTCTTCTAAAAATGTTGTGGTTTTACATGTTACATTTAAGTGTGGGATCAATTTTGTGTTATTTTTTGTATAGGGTTTGAGATTTAGTTCACAAAGTTTGCTTTTTTGCATATGGATGACCAGTACCATTTGTGAAAAGACTATCCTTAATCCATTGAATTGCTTTTGCACCTTTGTCAAAAAGCAATTGGCTGTACATTTCTGAGATCTTTGTTCTGTTCCATTAAACTACATGCCCTTTGCCCCTATCACATTGTCTTGATGACTGTAGCTTTATGGTAAGTCTTAAAATCACATCATGTGATTCCTCCTGCTTTATTCTATCTTTTCAGAATTGTTTTAGCTATTCTAGGTTCATTGCCCTTCCATATAAACTTTAGAATCAGTTTGTCTGTGTCTGCCAAAAGTTCTGCTGTGATCTTATCTTCTTTTGAACAAAATAACAAGTGTGGAAAACAAGTACATAGCATTTTATTGACTAATGAACAGTTTCTGTTTGCAAAAATACAAAGTGTATCTTCCATGATGGAAAATAATTTCCAAGTGTTATAAATATAAAAAGGAATGTATTTTCCTA